AAGGCGTTTCTATAGGTGTAAATAGGTCTTCTTTAATTAGGGTAGCTTTAACCCTAATAGACCATATAATATAATTTTCCGATCCCCTAAGTTTAGGGAGATATACCTTATCTATAGAAGTCATAGTAAGATATAATATATATATACTAGATATTTAGTATATATATAATCGAAAATTTGATAATATACTATATTAAAATATAGTATATAAGTGTTATTATATATAGTATCTACTATATAGATACTATATATAATATATTACTATAAATAGTATATGTATACTATTTATAGTATATCGAAAATATTTCGGAAATATTTCGGCGTTACTTCGGAGTTTCCTAAATAGGAAATAGATAGCAAGCCGGGCTCATAACCTATAAGCAATTTAGCAGATAATATATTATAGCCTAATAGTAGGTTATAATATTTTATAGGGAAGTAGTATTAGATAAGCTATATATATTATATAATATCTTATATAATATATATATAAATGTGTATATGGTTGTACTTATCCTAAATAGGTAACTCAGATGGCGATAGTAAGATTGATTAATTGTTATATATAGGAGTCTTTGCTTCTTATATAGTTCATTAGGAGGCAAATGATGAGATAATCTATAATATCTTTATTACCTCAGTATAAGATAATCTATAATATCTGTATTATCTCATTGTCTATGGTATTAGAAAGGAAGTCATAATATAGTTTTTTACTATATATAGGATATCTAGGGTTCTTCCTAGATAGAGCCAGTAATTCATATATGATCTCCTTCCTATCATAATAGAAATATACTATACTATTATATTATACACTATTATACACTATTATGCTAAGATAGTAATAACTAGGAATTAGTAGAAATTGATAGATATGATAAGTTATATTCTAAAAGTGCGGAGGATAAAGATAATATAAATATTAATATCTTAGTTCCTCCCTAGCTACTTCTAGTGATAAGTCATAACGGTCGATAGTGATCTAAGGGCTTTATTGAGCTGCAATTCCTTTAACTACTAACTACTAACCGGCCCTTATATTTTTTACCAAAATTATAGACCCTCGTATAGCGAGGGTCCGCCATCCATACCGTACATCCCATCCACACCGTAGATTTTTTATATATTTTACTTTGACTACCATTTAGTATACCACCATATAGTAAATTAATTAATTAAAAATTGTAAATAAATCAATTAACCAAATTACTACTAGTATATAAAATTAGATCAATTTCCCCTGCGTTTTTTCGCTCGTCTATACTTCCTAATTTCGACTAACACCTTCTTCCACTTCCGCTTCGTTTTTTCTTAATCGGCTTTCTTAGTCAATTTATATTCTTTTCGCTTCATTTCTTTGACTTAGGATAAACTAATAATACCAGTTATCTAAGTATGTATAGCGTCGAGAAGTATTATACCGGGCGTAGCGAGCACCTATAATAGCTTATATTAAATCGAATTCCCGCTATAGCTAGAGAGCTAGTATAGCCTACGCTTTAGCACCCTTTATAAGCTTTACTAGCCTATCTTTAAAACGCTGAGTGGTAGGATCGTATTAATTGAGACGATAGCTAATTCTTCGAATTCTCTTAGCTATTTTTGGAGTGCTAAATTCGGTGTTTTAAGAGCTAGTTAACGGAGTATCTTACCGGTTATTATAATATAGATTATACGACTCCAATTTATTAGTAATAAGCTTAGAATTAATAGGCTAGAGGCTAGTTAATTTGAATCTAAGCTTAATTATATACGGCTAGAAGGTTTTTCGTCTAATTTCGCTAATTAAGTATAGGAATTCATCCTTCGAGAATTTGCGGTATCTAGTTATAGTAGCCGTCTTAGCATAATAGTGTATAATAGCGTATAATAGTGTATAATATAATAGTATAGTATATTTCTATTATGGTAAGAAGGAGATCCTATATAAATTACTGGCTCTATCTAGGAAGAACCCTAGATATCCTACATATAGTAAAAAACTATATTATGACTTCCTTTCTAATACCATAGACAATGAGATAATACAGATATCATAGATTATCTCATACTGAGGTAATAAAGATATCATAGATTATCTCATCATTTGCCTCCTAATGAACTATATAAGAAGCAAAGACTCCTATATATAACAATTAATTAATCTTACCATCGCCATCTGAGTTACCTATTTAGGATAAGTATAACCACATACATATTTATATATATATTATATAAGACATTATATAATACCGTATTTCACAAGCGAGTGGCCACTACAAGCGAGTGGCCACCCCAACCAAATATATTAATTTCAAATGCATATACCTCAACCAAAACTCCATTAAATTAAATACACTAAAATCATCTATCTAGCTGAACATCTATTGATTTTATGCCCTATTTCTCCACAACCACTGCACTTTGGTGGCGCCCGTGTACGTGGTTGTAAAGCCGGCGAAGGGCTTCTTCGTGGAGGGGAGGGAGGTGCTTCATCTGCTTCCACCGGCTTAGTAATCAATTAAGAAGCTTCTTGAACTGTGAGCCCTGCTTCAGCTAGTATCTGCTGTCGGGATCGAGTACGCTTTTGCTTCTGCTTCTCGTTAGCGGCGCGTAATTCCTTGTTTTCTTTCGCGAGTAAGATAGCACCTTACATTATAAGACGGAAGCCTTTTATAAGCTAGTTTAATGCACGATCTAACGGGCTAGATGGACTTTAAGATCTTATACGAAGTAAAGCTTTAATTGATGAAGTCTGCTAACGTAGTTCTTTCTCTATAGCTGGCGTTTTTGGTGTAAAATTTCGACTTGATTCACTACCCCGGCTAGGAGGGGGGGTAGGCGTTCGAAGCCGGATATTAAGCCTTAAAATCACTTGATCTAGTGCAAATGGCACTAAACCGGTAGCTCGGAAGCTACTTTTAATTGTCTTCGGTTTAAAAGCTTTAATTCGTGCCTTTAGGTATGCTTTAAGAAAGTCAAGTTTCTCAATATAGTTGATCCCATTCCGCATCTTGGTTTCAACCGCCCGACTATAAGACCGTTTTAAGACTATAAAACAGCCGATATCGAGAGGTTGTAAAAGATAGGATGAATGAGTAGGCATACAAATTGGTATCACCTTATTTTACTCGCAAATTTAATCAAATTTCGGCGTTAAATGACTTCTATATCCGTTAAGTATTAAAAGCCGATACCCCCCCTTCGTACGTGAAGAAGTAGTAGGAATAAAGAGCTTTTCAAGCTAGCGAAGTCTAATTTCATCCGAAGTCCAACTATTAGGACTCACTTTAAAACGCTAATCGTTAGGAAGGCCGGTAAACTAGGATTTAAGGAAGACCTTTCCTTTAAAAATCACACACGGAGGAAGCACCTAGCCAGAAGCATTCGTATATTCAATCACCGTCACCCACTCTCGATTTCTAGGTTATTTAAGTGCTCTCCGCCTAGAGTATTCACTCCTCGTAATAACCCTCGTAGGTGTCGTTAATCCCAAAGCAAAACTAGTCTCGTCAAAGTTATAAACGTCATCGGGGTCGATTCCAAATTGAAGGATCGTTTTTTAAACCAAATCAAACCACTCCCTAATAATTTTCGGGTCTTCACATTTCGCGCGCTCGTAGTTATACCGTTTCGAGAATCGGGAGGAGAGAAGAGGGTGCCTTTTAACAAAATTCGTAACCCAATTTTCGCCGACCGAAGTAACCGGGGTGGTTCCACGTTATTAAAGAAGAAGATTGGCCATCTCTCGAACCATAGAAGGCCGGGGCGCTGATCCACGAGAATCCATAGAGAGTATCCATTTTTGAAGTGATTCCTCTTCAGTTGTAGTCAATTTATATGAATTGGCGCGAGAAATCGCGCGGTGTTGCATTCCATTAATTCGGTTACGGAGAGTTGTACGCGGGACGTTAAAGGTACGCGCAGCAAGAGAAATAGAGCTGATATCTCCATTTTTAAAAGCCTAGATAGCTAACAAAAGCCTACCCTCTTGCTCTATTGAATTTCTAGAGGATTGAGAGCGAATTGGTGGCATGGTGGGTGGTTGAAGAAGCAGGGTTTAAATTAACTGACGCGTTTTGGTTGGGGTGGCCACTCGCTTGTGAAATACGTTATATATAGCTTATCTAATACTACTTCCTTATAAAATATTATAACCTACCATTAGGCTATAATATATTATTTGCTAAATTGCTTACAACTCTCTTATATACTTAGTTTAGTTCTTCGTCTTCAATCATATATTATTACTTATATATACCTTTAGAACTTCAGTGACTCTTTACCTAATTATAACTTGACAAACACCTACGAGTAGACCAATACCTCGGTATAGATCTCCTCGGCGCTCTACCTAGTATCGTTCCTCGATACCTCAATAGGACCTATCCTACAGTAAGGCCTATTAGGCAATAGTACGGTTGAGAGAACAGATCGTTGACGTTGGAAACCTGAGAAGCATAAGGCAAGTATAACCGAACCCTTCTAACCTAACTATGACCAGATAGCAGTGCGTAACAATTTGTTACCCAATTGGGTACCTAGGGGTTGGGTTGGGTTATCTAGTATAACCCAAAACCCAGCTTAGGTCCAAGGTTTGGCCCCAAAACCCAACCCAAAGTTGGGTTGGGTTGGGTTCGGTCCGGGTCCAATTGGGCTCTAGAGAAGTCTACTTAGGCTCGGTCGGCCGCCTCATATGGGATAGGAATACAACTTCTTAAAATCTAAGTATGATCCGACGCTAACTACTAAATGAACTGTGGGTATGGAAATTAACTGAACTGGGCCCGGGCCCACTTTTCTTTTCCCATATAAAAAAATAAAACCCTAATACAACTGGGGGCCTAGTACACCCTCCCCTATAGGATAGGCCTTAGGCCCTAAAATCCTAAACTGTAATCCGAGTCAGCCTCACTCCCCCCTCCCCTATAGGCTTGAAACTCCTCGCCATCCCGCTCACGTTGCATGACCTCGTGGATCCATGCTTTAGCTGTCTTTTCCAGCCCAGGGCCATACTGCTGCGCAACACTGGGAGGGTACTGGTTTGGCGGGCCATACTGAGCCATATAGCGTGTCGACATATCATGTCGCATGCGAAGCAGTCGTTGTTGGTAGAGATGGGTGTACCTCTGTGCTTGGTTCATGGGCAGTCCGTTTTGACCCATTTTGCCACTATTCGCTTGTGCGGCTGGCATCGTCATTTGCTGCTGTTCTTGGGCTGTTAACTGCAGATTGCATTGGTGTGGCTCGTCTTGTTGACCCTGTATCTGTGGGTGCTGGCCGTGTTGAGGAACTTTAGGAACACCCTGATGATTTTGTTGCTGTTGCGCAGAGAGTTGGTCCTGCGCCTGCGGGGCAGCAAGTTGTTGTCTCCGCGATCCCTCTTTCGCATTTTCCTCTGCCTGCCGCTGCTCGATCGCGCGTCGCCGCTCTCTCTCCTGATCCTGCTGCTGATTGTTAAACGTCGACTGGGTCTTCTCCGACAGACTGGCAGGAACCACCAAATGATCAGCCTCCAACGAGAGGAGACCATCTACTTGTGGTCGATGATGCGTGATATTTAGGTATGTTGCTTCATAATGCCGCTTAGGCGCCACACTGGGAACCGGAAGCGAGCCTGTTGGCTCACCGCGTGCTTTCCTGGATTCTGCCTCTGCCACAATCTCTTCGAACTCTTTTTGGCCGGAGTCGAGACGCCGTTGAAAGAAATTCCTCACCTATATTATCCGCAGTGTCAGTTTGACTTGCAAAAAATAGCGGAAAAGAGGAGAAATCCACTCGCAAAACATCTCACCATGACTGTGGTTTTCGTCTTCATAAACTTGGATATGCCTTCGAAGTCTCGACCGAAGTGGGACAGCATCATTTTGAAGTCGCGTTGTTCAGGCACCGACCAGTAGCTTGTGGGCTTTAACGATCCATAACCGACCTCCGGTTTCTCAGTCGACGCTGAAGCATCAAAGACATCCATGTCTTCCTTTGCTCGAGGTTCGACATCCTGTACAGGCCTGGGATAGTCTTCTGCTGGGTAGGATACCGGGTAGGGCTGTGGTACCGGTGGTGTCAGATGTTGTTGAAGGGGTGACAGTGACTGCTGCTTCGATGATGAAGTGTGCTTGACCTGGACTTCCCTGCTGCTTCTCGCATCAAGCACTTCAACAGCCTCAGTAGGGAGTGTGTTATCCATGAGCTTCTGTTCTGCTTCGGGGTCAGGTTCCACATCCTGATTCGCCAGATCTTCCGTGCGCTCAACGCTTAGCTGTGTCATATTCGTCTGCTGCTTGGATGATCGAATCGTAGTATCGACGAATGAAGATGGGGCATCCGGAAGCCCTGTAGCTGGGACATTTGCACCTCCCAAATCCGTATAAGCTTTTCGGCTATCTATAAAAAAGCGTCCAAGCAAGCTTCCCTTCGTCGCGTTGCTTGATGTGTCAGAATTTAAATCAACATCGCTACTACCGATTTCGTCTCTCGGAAGGCATGCCAATGAAATTTCCTCCAGGTGTTGTCCTACATGAGTTGCGTACGCTTTCATCGTTTGCCAACCATCCTGTGAACATAACGCACACTTATAATCCTTGAACTCCAGTTTCAAGACTGTCTCTTGAGCTTCTGAGATTGCTGCTGTCAAACGATGCCTAGCCAGTGCGATGTCGTGGCATATAATCAAATGGTCGACAAACAATTGCTGGGTGACGGTGGTGGTATTACACATAAAACAGCGCCACTGGATTCGAGTGAAATGTTCGTTGAATTCGTGATCAGCCCATAACTTACGGCTTGGGAATGTTTTCATTGCGTCTTCACATTCTGCATGTGTGCAGAGATACGACTGCAAGTCCGCGAAAACATGTATTCTACTCAGTCAGTTATAATTCAGTTCCATGATACTATGCTCATTCAAATACGTACTTCCACTCAATCCGGTTTCGCAGAGATACGGTTTTACGACAGTAGTCGCATTGAAAAGGAATCCCGCCTTCCTGCGGTAGAGAAGGCACTCGGGGGCGACCATGGGCCTCTTTTCCGGCAATTGAGAGGAATGAAGTATGGGAGGCGGCAGTGGCGGCATACTGCGACCTTGTAGGAACAGATGTCCCAAGACCAGAATCATTGAACAGGGAGTAGGGCTTAAATAAGGTCAGAGCGTCATGGTCCGCGAGATATGGTTCTTCTTCTTGCGCTCTGATACGGATGGACCTTTCCCAGTTAGCCTCTGCGAGTCGCTCCACCAGGGGAGTTAGTGCAATTGTAAATCTATTTTGATCATCAGCTTAGGCGAAGAAACCCCCGGGGGGGCACCAACCGGTCTCGGATGCGCATGGCAAAAGGCCGCGCACTCTCTGATAAACGAATCACATTATCAAGGGGAGTTGGCCGTGGTTCCACTTTATACTGCAAAAGAGAAATATGCTTTTCGATCACTGGTACGAGATCCATCAAGCAGCTGACATAACAGTGGATTCGTCCGAAGCGATTTTGTTCGCGTTCAGTGGTTGAAGATGAATCGTCGGAAACCTCGTCATCTGAAGACGAGTCAGAACTTTCTTCAGCCGAAAGCATTATTGTTGCCTTCTCTAACTGAGTATAAAGTTCCTGTGAGAGATCCCATGCGGAGGTCCTTTCGTTTTGTCCGCTAGTTGTGGTTATGTCGCAGCCCGCGAAGTAGGGCATCAGAATATTGCCGATCCCCTTCAAATTTTCGACCACATTCGTCTTCAAATGACATGATTGTCCCAGAATGGTGTCGAGGTGACCGGGAGGAAGTTCTCTTCCCATAGTCGGATGTTCGCTACATCCTTCTTCAAGGTGTTCTTATGCGGGTCGTGCGGTGTTAATCGAAATCGTGATCTCCAAAGATAGACTAGGGCAGTTGAGCAGGTATGATATAGAGTTTCAACAAAGCCGACGTTTGGATCTTGAGTGCTGTTATCGATTCTGGATATGACCCAGTCACTCAGTAATTGCGTTGTTTCCTTTGTTGCTTTCATCGTGCTGCTGGTGATAAACGGCAGATTGTATCGAGTGTCAGAAGGCGCGAAGCCGTGCGACCATTGGGGGCTGAAAATGCAAAGCTGGTAAAGTAACTACCCTCCTTACCCCAAACCAAAAAAAGGCCTTACATATGTAAGCCAATAGTGATGGAAACAGTACGGAATATGCTTTCTAACATATATGATTAAGAGTAGCAGTTTACCTAGTGTGGGGGAGTGAATGCGTTCCAAGGTTATCTTTATCTTGGCACCGCATTACATGCTGGGGAATGCAACTGGACACGGGACAGGTAAGTAACTTGTCGAAAGTTGAGGGATTGAATACATGGTTTTTACAGGGTATTTTACCCCAGAAGATCACATGACCGTGGTACGCAGGATGCCATACAAAAGTGCATATTACATTTTGTCATTATGTCTGTTATCATGTCCATTGAAATTGTCAGTTTTGTCATTTTAGTTAGACAGTTACATACCACTGAATGATACCATACGATGTCAAATCATAGATTTCCGTTATAACTAGCTACATACAGTGACTGTTCATAAGTTCTGACACCCCCTTGGCCGGCCCCACCTACACACCACCTTCCCCTATCGCCTACACCGCCGATTAAACAAAAAACGCGCGAGTTAATCTTGTACACGTCGCGTTTATCGGTCAACTCAGATGGGGTAAAATACCGTGGATTCCCCACACTGTACGGCGTTATTCAGCACCCGCCCACGATAGGTACGTACCTATCGCCATCTGCGGAAGAACTGTGTCGTAATACGTAGATAACCCCTGGATCGTTTCAACAGATCCTCGGAAAAAAGCACTCATTCAATTAACTATCTTATAAATTTCTGATACCTGCCCGTACGGTTATCTTCCAACCTGACACTATCTACTGTAAATCTTGAGTACGTACTGGCAATACGTAGCGCTTATGCACGTGGTGTATTCTTTATAAAAGATTTCTCACCTGCTCTGTCCAAGCGTAATTTCCTACGAGGCTGACATAGCGAGGCTGACCCGTTCCACACTCACCCAACCCGCAAGAAACCTTGCTGAAAAGCCGCTTATTCCCAAGCACCTACCATATTACTCTGCTGACAGACACGACGATGGCCAGTCCATTGCCACCGAAACGCCGGAGGGACTTCGATGTCGCAATTATCTGCGCGCTACAGTTGGAAGCCGACGCTGTAGAGGCACTCTTCGACTATTTCTGGGATGAAGATGGCGATCGATACGGAAAGGCATCGGGAGACCAGAATGCATATCGAACTGGGGTAATCGGCGATCATAATGTCGTGTTGGCATACATGCCAGGCATCGGAAAGGGGCACGCAGCAAGCGTCGCAGCGAGTTTCCGATCGAGCTTTCAGGGTATCCGACTTGCGTTGATTGTTGGAATCTGCGGAGGGGTGCCAGGCAGAACCGACAACGATATATTCCTTGGTGATATAATCATCAGTGATGAGATCGTGATATACGACTTCGGCAGGAGATTTCCGGCGGGGTTCCGACGCAAGGAGATAGTAACCGATTCTGCTGTGAATATCGAAGTGAGAGCCTTCTTGCACAAAATCAAAAGTCGAAAGGGTCGTGAACATTTACTCGGCAGGACCCATCACCATCTCACTGCCTTACAAAAGCGAATCAGTGACTATCGCAGCCCTGCGAGAATGCTAGATCGACTTTTCGAGCCGACCTACCATCATAAGCATCATATTCCCTCGAGATGCAGGAAGTGCAAGAAGGACGAGCATTGCGCAAAGGCCCAGGAGGCCACATGTGAAACGTTGAAATGTGATTGGAAGGAATTGGTTGTTCGTTCGGGTCCATCACCAGGTGGGATCAATATCCACTTCGGGCGAATAGCCTCAGGAGACACGGTCATGAAGTCTGGCGAGGACCGAGACAGAATTGCTGCGGAGGAGAATGTGATCGCGTTTGAGATGGAGGGTGCAGGCATTTGTAATAATCTGCCCTGTATCGTGGTAAAAGGGGTGTGTGACTATGCTGATAGTCACAAGGATAAAATATGGCAAAGGTACACAGCCGCAACAGCCGCTGCGTGTATGAGGTCGCTACTGGAACAATGGGCAATTATTGATCAGCCTAAAGGAAGTGACAGACAGCTTAAGGGTTCCACACAAGGATATTATTCTTCTCGCCTCGATACTCTTTCCGAAGTAGAATCCACTCAGTCAACTCATTGTGACGAAGCATATCAGTCACAAAAGAATCATGATACCAGGGATGATGACCTACTACAAGGTAATCTTTGTCCTTCTAAACTAGCTGGCCCTAAGCTGACCATTCTAGTTTTGCCGACAATTGAATCGAGTTTCAAGATTACACTTACCTGTTTCAAACAACACCGAAAGTATTTGCCTCGAGATGTTGATCTTAAGAGCACATTGAAAACCCAGCGCGTTATCTTCTCGAGTAATGTGGAAATCCTGTCGTCGGATGCTTCGGGTTCTCTTAACAATCCCCTCGGTTCGTCGAAAAATATTTGCCTGGAGCTGACTCTAGCAATCCGAACGAAGCTTGAGGAGATTGACGACATCACAAGGCGTCTTCCTGTTGCTACTAAGGCGAAAGTACAGCACAGGACTGCCGCAGACAGGCTCAAGGTGAGACACCTACAGAGAAATTTTCACCACCCTACAAACTAATCGACCCTATATTCAGGATGCTGTAGAAGACTTAAAATCCCTGGTTCAGGTCTTTGCATCCTCTATCCCCCAACGCAAACAGCCTCGACTATCAGAAGAGTCGAAAATAGCCAAAACTCCCAAAGGTCGCCGCGAATTTCAGCACTTCCGCATTGTCCAGCAAGCCGCTTGTAGCCTTTATGATGCTCTTGGAACGGCCTGTAATGCGCATTCTGTCCATGACGTGCATCTATCCCTCCAACCGGACCTTAATGAGACACGAGTGCGATTCAATGTGGCCTTTATCCAGAATCCCATGGTGCCGGGGAAGGCAGTCTGGATTAATGTGGAATCAACCATCAAATCTTCCGAGCCGAGTTCCCAACCGGTCTCCACATCATCATCAAGGGGTCACTCTTCTCTCAAACGACCAAGACAACTTAACGAAGCACATTGTCCACCAACATCTCGTAAACGTGTACAGTTTCGTCTTTTACCCGGGCCTCTACAATCAGTGTGCCCTGAAGAACCCATTATTGGAATCCCAAATCTCTACCTCCAACGGAATTTCTGCACCGTGGTCGAGAGGTCTTTACACCAAAAAGAATGTAATGGTTGCATCGGGCTTCTTGGAGACAACGATATCTGTAAACATTTGGCATATATGGGAAATCAGACCAACAGCATGACCGCTTCCACATCACTCTCCCAACTGATATCACTGTCAGGAACCGACTCCACTGGAGGCATGGGTCTCTACGAGCGCGTCCGACTAGCCAGATATCTCGCCACTGCTGTTCTCTACTACCATTCTACACCGTGGCTCAACAAGGCATGGCGTAGTGACGACGTTCAGTTTTTCGGATATCACGATTCCTTGCTCCAGCAGGCACAACACGTCCTACCATATATGACCACATCTATCCGAGCACCAAACTCCTCAATGAGATCTCACCCCCGATCCTCCGATTACCATCACATCATCCGTAACCCTGTTCTCTTTGGGCTAGGTGTCATGTTCCTCGAACTTGCATACCAAGCTCCCCTCAGAACCCTACAACAACCGGTCGACCTCAAAAAAGGAGAAACACAGGGCTTTGCGGATTATTTCACAGCGCACAGATTAGTAGACGATAGCTACCGCATGGTGAGCAAGAGTTTTAAAATCATCATCAACAAATGCCTGCACTGCGACTTTGGGCATGACAGTGACTTTGCGAGTCCTGCGCTTCAAGAGGCTTTCTATCGTGATGTTATTACGGGTCTTGAGAATCTAGAAAAGGTTTTTCGGGAATTGCAGCTTGATGATCTGGAACCTACTCCGGTGTGATACATATTAAATGAATATGTGGGAAACATTTGGCATCTAATTATTCTTCCTGTTCCCTTAAATAGATCGAAGTATATACTCGGAAGGTCGTTGGTACAGTTCGCTAGACCAAAAGTGGGACTATTGGCCACAATTAGGTATCCTATATCCCTTTACTCGGTCCTTGCCAAAGTTAGCCTATCAATAAACATAGACAACAAACTCAGGACCAACGTCACCTTCGATCCCCTGTAGCAGCAAATGCGCGCTACAGGCGATCCAGAAGACTAACCAAAAATCCTAATCACCAAGGCTGGTGTGGACTCGGGCAAGGTGGTTGTTGGCGTAAGCAGCTACGGAAGATCCTTCAGAATGGCCGATGCAGACTGCGATGGCCCGCTATGCAAATTCACTGGAAGTCGACTGAATTCTAATGCTGAGAAGGCAGACTGCACTGATACCGCGGGCTACATCTCAAATGCAGAAATCAATCAACTCCTGAACCACAACTCATCCCGCGTCAATAAACATTATGTTGACACCCACAGCAACAGCAACATTATGATTTACGACGACACAAATCCTAGTTACGTTATTAATAGGCATATTATAAGGGGTATATAGCTAAAGGGGAAATAAGAAAAATAAAAAGAAAAATAGGAAGAAATCTCGTGTCTACGGGCCTGAGAGCTTCCGTGACCACGACTGTCGCTGCCACGAGCCTAGCGATGTAAGACTTGCGCTCCCTCACAGCCAATGAGCCCCGCGAGCGTAAAAATGTGCCCCCTCGCTGCCCTGAGCCCCGCGAGTGTAAAAGGTGCTTCGCAGGACGAGCTCTGCGTCAACAAGACCCTCCCGCGGCCTTAAAGTTTGTTGTTTTCGGCAAGGTCTACATAATCTCTGTCGCATTTCTTTGGCCACCGATAGGTACCATGTTCACTAGCACTCTGTACTTAACAGGACTCGGTTTCAAGCTCAGGTATATTGTATAGTTCGAGTGACACTGCCAATGGAGGTTGATTTACACTATATCAATCCCGAAAGCTTACTCGATAACAGAAAGACTGACATGGAATACCCAGAACCAGGCAAAATTGCTTTTCCAAATTGTCCGCCTGAATGGATACAATTTGTTGCTTTATAGGTCTTTTGGTATAATGATGAACCATGTACACAATAGCAGGACCTCACCCCGTATTGGTCATGACTTGTATCTACGAGTTGTTTAACTATCAAAAGACTATATCTACTGGAGCATGGGCAAGCCACTGTCCAAACGTTACGATCAGCCTGAGACCAATCCATATACTTCTATCATTCAATCTACAAAGCAAACAAAGTCTTCCACTAATGCGCTATGTATTATGTGCTGCACGGGTTATATAAGACACATATATATACAAGCCCCATCGCGTCAAGGTTTGAACCACGGCCAAATGTCGAGCTAAAATTATCCGGAACAAATTCAAGCTAGCCCCCTAGCCAGCTCTCTTCGACTTATGTATATGTAACTTCCCTTATGGAGCATTGCATAATGATCCCCACAAAAGTAAGAGGCGTTCCGCTTAAGGAACGGGTGACTTAAGCCTGAGGAGCGAAACCAAGACGGGGGCCATTTGAGTCGAAGACGGTATACTGGCTCTTAAGGAAGATGTCACCGAAGATAGAGAAGCCAAGACCCGAGTTGCTCTGGATACCGCCAAAGCAGGTGTCGCTACCCTGGCTCACAGGGGCGTAGTTGATCAGGTCACCGGGGACGACGGCGTCGTAGCTGCCGATGGAGACGGTGAAGTCGGGCAGCTTGGCAGAGCAGGGAACGGTGTAGCCACCGGCGGAGGAGTCCTCATTGGCACCGGAGACCTGCTTGTAGTAGGCGGAGACGACGTCGTCGGGGAGCATCAACAAAGTGGTGCCAGTGTCAGCAATGCCCTTGATGGAGCCGCCTGAAGAGCTACCGATCTTGTAGCTATCGGCAGTGAACATCCAGAAGCCCTGGGAGCTGTCGACATTGGTGTAGGCAATTGAGCCGGTATACTTGGACTTGTCGAGGAAGCCGAAGTCGTAGGTACCTGGGGCGTTGTGCTTCAGGGTGACGGCAAAGAGAGGGGAGTCGAGCTGCGACTTGACGGTGTCGAAGAAAGTGGTCTGAGCCTGGGGCTTGACGGTGTTGATCGAGCTGAAAGCCAGGCCAAGTAGACCGTCGTTGTTCTTGTCGTTGACAAACTGCTGGCTGATCTTGGAGGCAGCCTCGACGGCCTGGCCGGTGGCCTTGACGCCGCCGACGATGACGGTGTCCTTGTAGACATCACCGCTAGCCGAACTTTGGTCACCGTACTGGATCTGCCAGGTGGCGCCGGAGATCTTAGTGCCGTTGCGGCCGGCCTTGTAGATGCTGTGGCCAGCCTGCTCGGCAGAAGGCAGCTCGGAAGAGAAGACCCAGCTAAAGATAGAAAGTCAGATGCTTGTCATTTTGATAGAAGAGCATACATGCGTAAACTTACAGATCAGCGGAACCAGTGTCGAAGTCCAGGTTCAGAGTAGTGCCACCGACGTTGACGGGAGTCAGATACTCCACGTCGTTGTTCTCGGGAGTAGTGGTAGCTGAGCCGCTCTCAGCGGCAGCCTTGACACTGGCAGGGACGGATGCGCCGTACTTGGTCAGAGCATTGGCGTACATGCCAGGCAAGTTCAGGGTCTTAGGACTGACGGCAGGCCGAGCCAGCTGGTTGACAGTGAAGCTGCTCTTGCGACCACCGTGCGGCACAGCCGAAGCGATGGAGAGACAGGCCAGGCCGGCCGTGATCTTGCTGAAGACGACCATGTTGAAAGAAAGAGAGTAAAGAATGACTCTATATAATGAAGTGTGGAAGACAAGCTGTGTGGACTGGAACTATCCAAGAACACGCCGGAGACGAAGGCTTCTTTATAGCCGGGACTTGGGATTGTTTCATCTTGGAGCCTGATCTCCGCGGACCGAACAAGACATCAAAGATGGCACCTTTCGAGGCACACGGGAGGAGTAGTTGCTCATCTAGGAAGCCCGTGGTGCCGATCCAGCACATGCTGGGACTCGGGGATGTAGACTTCGAGATTGTAACGGACTCCATCGGCCAGACGGAATGAGACGACGGACTCCGCCAGTATGGAGCCGGGGGGAGACGGGTGTCGCGTGAGTTCCGACTCCGGGAGCTGAGGCGTCAGATAGCACCAGTCAATCACAGAAGGCGGGGCGTGATGTTCCATGACTGTGATGTGTGAAGCTACAGAGGCTTGGCTATGGAAAGCTAACATTACAGAACGTAGACCTCCGGCCAAGGCCTCAACACGAGCAGACTAGGAAGCTTGACACCCATTCAGCGGAGTCCCCGAGATCACCCTTCGGCCAGAGACTCATCACCCTATGTGTGTGGGGAATAGAGTGTAGGAGATAGAAGAAGAAACAACATGACCTGATCGTATTAGATCTAAGGGACACCAGAAACTCCAAAGACCGACCAACTGCGAATATAGTTGAGACGAAGACGGCCGATCGTTACCCAACCGAGCAAATCGTAGACTTTCGCCTCCAATCAGGGTCACATCGCGCACTTGTATGTGATGATGCGCGTCCGTCATTGGAGCGTCGGATCCACTGGTGAGGCAGTCGTCTAGAATTCAGTGCCTGTTAATCTTCTTTGTCGCTCTAAATGCTTTCGATCTCCCGTGTTGGCGCATTAGAGTGTGATGGAGCAAACCTCGGTAATTGGGTCCCTGACAGCGCTGATTAGTGTCAGGGTCTTATCCGTCCCAGTTTTCTTCCAATTTGAAACAAATTTTATTGTCTAAGTGCACCATCCGATCGACCCTGCATTAGGTCCCTGCACCTGACTCGGAGATATTTCCCATTTCTCATAAAGGATAACGAACGTTGGCCTGTGGTTCATGTCCAACTAATTCAACTGATTCAACTGATGCGCTTATCGATGCACAGGGGTCCGGCTATGAGATCTTCACGACCATCGTCCTCCCTTTTATATTACTGCAATAACCTGATCGGGTAATGCACTAGAAAGATCATTTTCTGATAGATTCTTGAGACAATTCTCGCGTAGCAGTAGATCGCGATAAGTTGCAGTTTCTACACTGCTGTTTCACAGTTGCATAGTTGCTAGTATACAGTACACTCTTCAATAGGCATCGAGATTAATCTTACTGGGTGTCGAGTATCATCTTACATATGCGACTGTGAAATATCCAATCGTAACCCGGGAGTCTCTCATTCAATCTATCTCATACAATCTTCGCCGACCGTGTTTCCATCATCATACCTCAATCTGAGACATGAATTTAAACTAAGCCATCTGCAAGCCTTAACCGACAAGGCTGGAGTTTAAAGAAAAGTTAAGCATGTGAAGATCTACTCCACCAACGATGAATGCGGTGAAAGCAGGGCCCGCCTTCATAAATCCGACGGAGACCGGTCGGGCCTTTAATATAAAAGCACGACAGAAGTAAAAAGAATAAAGAATAAAAAGCAAAAACATGCCATGCGCACAAGCGGGAGGATCAGAAAGGCAGTGAGACCAAGTATTGTTTCAATCAAATTACCGACGCCAAATCACAGCCCACGCATGCCCAGTCACGCAAAAGGTGCCAAGCATGAGATCCCACAGGGGTAAATAGTTTAAAACGGATGAAAGGGGAAAGTCAAAAAAGAAAGTACGGGTCACGTCGCAACCTGCACGAACTGGGATCTGAGTGCCCCAGACTAGCCTTCGCCGTTGGTACTGTCGTCAAAGCTTTCATTGAGAAGCACTTCCAGCATGTCAAATTCGTCTAGCGTGGAGTCGGTTCCACCTAGACCCTGGTCAAAACGGCCGCGTTGGTGTTAAACTCATGGAATCTAAGTGAGAACGCGAGCCACAGAAACGGTCAATGTTTTGAATTTTCATTTTAAGCTACACATACGTCATGGGGCTTGGCCCGTACCCCTCGGGAAATTGTGTGTATCAAGCACCTTACTGGAAATTCCTATTACTCACTTCGCTGGCGGCCCTCGTTCATAATCTATTGATACATATGCATTGCTACAACATGGGTAACGGCTTAAATCTGGATGAAGTTGGTGTCAAACGTTGTAGCGCGTATCAGTGGGTGTACAAGCGTTATGCAGCCCGCAACGCACGACGACTGGAATATTCGGCGGGCTCTCAGCGTATCTCGGTGATCTCAGTCGCTTGACCTCCAGTCAGGCTTAGATCTCGCTTGCTACCGTGTGGATACATACAAATGGCCGATGATTGGCTGTCGTGGGTATCCTCAAGTGCGATCTCAATTCTCTCTGTTTAGGCCGAGTACAATGTCTGTATTGCTCCAGTGATACCGACTCTCTTTTGTGCTAGCTCATCATACAGGTTCTTATTTTACGACTCAATAATTGGCATATAATGACGGAGTTCATTGAACTCAGCCCGGAGCGTGTGAGTTTCGCGAGTACAATCATTCAGTTGAGCACGAATGCGTTGCGATTCCATTTCTATACAGCTATTGGTAGCCTTAAGCTCGTAAATATCTGCCGTGAAAGAACCATCGACCATTCCTTCACAGAGACCCTGTGTCTTCATGCCCCGTCAGCAGCGCTATAGCAATGAGAATATCTGGCAATGGGCTCACGTCCTTTGCAAGGTCGCCAATATTTGACTGCAAGGCTCCCAAGAACTGCGAGGTAACGGTCTGTAATGATTGAATAACACATTAGTCCTTATCGAGCATAACAACTGCCGCCCCCAAATTGTCATTGTGTCCTGAGGCGCCTGAGTAGACAACACTACCCGAGATGGCCCATGTAGCCAAGGCTTTCTCTTTTACTATCACCCGCTCTGGTTCAATTTCAATATATTTGAAAGGACCAAGTCTCCATGGTGGTAGTGGGCGGATAACAAATACCCTGGCCATGCCGTCGTTGTAAGCCATCAACACCACCATTCCTGCTCCCCCGGCAGATCTTGGTTTTTCAAACGACGGGCTAGACAGCCGCTTGGCTATGTGAAGATTGATCTCCGCCATATCAGCCGACTAAGCTGATCTGCCGCCCCTGGATGTATCCCCAAAACGAAAGCTCGACTGCTTATGCTGCAGATATGTGAAGCTCTGCCTAATCCTGTCTGAAACTGGGCCAACTTCAAAGACACGAGACAACCAGATCCGTGGACATTCGACCATAATATGGAGAAGCTTAAAACGTTCTTTCCTTATGAAAAACTAACCCTTAAAGATCTGCTGAGATACGACAATGACTATATCTTGATCAACCCGAGTGCTACCGCCTCCCTCCGCTTCACCATAACGCGATCCTCATTGGCAGCGTTTACAAGGATCTTATCAGCGCCCTGGAGCAACCCACCATCAGCCTTGTTAGCCTCCAGGAACTTCCCATCCCAACTATAGATGACTTCGCTATAACGCTTTTGATCACCAAACAAAAGAGCCACACTTCGAGCCACGACCTCCGGCTCTTGAACACGAACGCCAAGTGATTCAATAAAATCTTTGGGCACCATTCCAGTATTTTTCCACGATGGCGAGACCGCATTCAATCGAACCTTACCTTCCAACTGAGATTGAAGGCCGCGAACAAGTCCCAAAACACCATGCTTCGTGATTGTATAATCGCCCGCGGTGAAATTCTGGAATGATGCTGTGGATGCAGTAACCACAATTCTTCCCAATTCACCAGTTGATCGGTGAGTCGAGTGCTTCTGGATGTAATAAGAAGCCAAGCGAACAGTTGAAATGACACCCAAAAGGTTGACATTGACTGTTCGCAGGTTGGGAGGCGCAAGGAGGCCATTCTCATCAAGTGTATCGTCCAATAAATTGGTTGTCGGGCTAACGCCTGCGTTGGCAAAGACATGGTCGATATGACCGAAACATGCTTCAATCTGGATGAAGGCGTCTTGTAGACTCTCCCAAGAGCAAACTTCAACTTGATCGAATTTGAGTTTCTCCGATACCTGTAGATCGGCTGGCAATGCGTTCAGGTCGCCGATGACTACAATCGCCCCCTTCCTAAGGCAGAGCTCAGCAGTTGCTTTTCCGATTCCCGATGCGCCGCCTGCTCTATCAGCATTTCTTCCTCCTGGTGATGGGACCCAATGGAAATTGACATACCAGTGATGAAAACGACTTTGTCGTTGATATTCCCGAGGATATCTTCAGAAATAATTATCTCCGCCATGGTTATAGATGATGTTCAAATATTGTTTTCAAGGTGCAACTTTGAACAGGACCGCGGGGTTTATCTAGCAATCTTCATTGTGAGGCCTCATGACTAGACGCGTGAACAAAACATAAAAATCGCGACCCTCAATTTCTGCTAAGCATTGCTTTCATAGCGATTTGGTAGCAAAACACCGCAATCTATTTAGTTGGGTTCTCTTCACGCTGCCTCGCATTCCTGCCTTCAAAACTCCGGTGGAACCCATAATGACTTGATGGCGGGTTGAAAACTGATGCCACTGGGCAGACTGTAGGGCTCGCTAACAAAGTTCTCAACAGATTCAGCAAGACATCTGAAATATATATAATGGGTAGGGTCAGGTTGACTCCATGTTTCCCTTGCCACCTATCTGTTCAAATGGCAAACACTGCAACAGCCCGCCGGCTCCGCCACCAAAGACTAGCGAACGCCTGCGACCTAGCGCCATTACTATATGACTCCTCAGAGCTTCCGCTGCCAAAGACGACCACTCGCCATGATACAAATGCCGGTCGTAACATTCGCGCTGACTCGCCGAGCCCACCTTCTTTGCGGCGAGCCAACAAAATCCTTCGAGTGAGGATTTATCATCGACCTCATGGCTCGCATGTTACGCCCCCAGCAGGACACCCTGGCAAATCCCAAAGAAAGGGTGCCAAAAATGGCCCGCGCCAGAAGCGAGTGGCTTCCGAGCGAGAGGCAACTCGACTGGATTGGATGCGACGGCTTCGTCCTATGCCCTATAGACGTTGTTAGGTCAGACAGGTGTAGGGCACACATGAAGACCCAGCGGGTGGCATGTCTCAATGTCTAGTTTCGTCCATATATTGTTAAATATGAAAATCTTTTGCAAGAAAATGAGTATGAAAATAGGTCTACAGTGCACGATGGGTTAGCCCGTCAAAATGGACTCTCTTTGTAGGAGCTTACTCTGCTAGGCATTCTATAGGTTGGTATACAGAGCGGATCGAAATCAGTTTCACTATCTCGTTCTCTTTGATTGTTTCTCGAACAATATTTTTAGTGACGCTAGTCCTAATGTAGATAGGCCTTGATTATAGCCCCTTTCCGATTCGACAGTTCAAGATGATCTAGGCTAGGTGTAGACTGAAGTGGATCGGGCTAAGCTTTAAGAAAAAGCAAAAAGAATAACGTGGTAGAAGTCATTGCGAGCGGGCCTGTATATAAACACGACAGCTGGTCAAAGGATCCTTGCTCTACTTTTGTAGTTCATTTGTAGACAGTTGTATATGGAAAAATGAAACGTCTCGGAGATTAGGGACACCAAGAAGTTGTCAAAATAAGTACATTGCGATATAAATGTATGTATTTACAACTTGATTAAGAAGGGATCACACTATATATAATCTAGCGACTTCAAGTAGTAGGCACTCTACGGTATATCTCCTGAGTTTATGGAAAAAAGATTGTAATTTGCTCTAGCTAATGAGAAGGCTGGATTTCAAATTATCCTCGAGTCTCCTTGGCGAATTTCTTTGCATTTAGGCGGGAAACTATATGATTCTGGTTTTTTCCTGGGCTCCAGAGGTTCTTGTGCACCTTTTATCTTTATACTGCACCAAGGCCACCGATGTTAGACGTGGAAGAGTTAATAAGGTGATCTGTAATTAATAGGGACTGTTATGCGAGATGACGTGAATACATTTATTCTAAAAATTTAAAGCCTGTCAACAGACCGAGATGGAGAAAGCTTCATCCTTCAGGAGAGCATTGATGCCGGGTGATGGTTGGACGGAGACCAAAAATGTTGAAGTGCTTGACATGGGACATGACCACTTGTGCATCTGAGTAATATATTCCATAGTAAGCTAATATACGTGTGTCCTACAGTTATCACTTTGGTGATAAGCATACATAATTTTCTATCCGTTATTCTGACGATTGACTACGGCTATGAATCCGTTTCGAAAAGGATTATCCGTTGAAGACATCCCTAATCTAGCCGACAAGGTCATCATAATCACTCGGTTAGGATTATCACTATTATAGATGATTTCGTACAGGCTGACAAAATTTTCCTTCCCTAGTGGCGCCACAGGAATCGTGAAGCAAGCGTTAAAGCAGCTACTGAGGCACAATGCCAAAGAGTCAAGATCAAGGAGGACGGAAGATCAAATGGACCCAGCTATCATTCATCATTTTCCTAGGCAGATAGTTCTTCACCTATTGCCCCGCAATATGCAATACTAAAACAGAGCAGATTTCAAGTCGTCTTGACCACCCCATATCGTTGATTTCTCTCCATGTCAACAATTACGAAGGTGCCAAGGGGTCGCCGAGGTCAAATATGTATTATGCAGTAGAAACAGGAGTACGGAATGTTCACCGTCAGAAAGTTCACCGGGGCTGAAGTACTAGGGAGCGAAGGTATTGGGAATGTGACTGTATCGTGTATTGATCCACAATGTCAATCTGTTACGCTACGTATCCAGTCCTACATTGGAAATATAGAAGGCTTTGTAATGAGCGACTGGAATGCTCAGCATACTGGCATTGCAAGCGCCTTGGCTGGTTTGGATATGGCTATGCCCTATGGGCGAGAATATTGGAGCGCTAGCCTGGCCGAAGCAGTGCGCAATGGCTCCGTACCAGATGCACGTCAAAGTGCATAGTGCAGATGTGAGATAGATTGAATTGTTGTTGAAGAAGCTAAGTTACAGAGGCTAAGAAATTTGATATGCTTATTAAGCTATATATCAAAACAACATACGCCTATGAGAAAAAAGGTTAGTATGGGAGGGAAATGACACGTTAGCGGTGTAGGGGTATGCAGGATATTCAGGTGTAAAATAGAGGTGTTCAGGGCATTCAGGTGAATGGGGCCAACTGAAGGCGCTGAAGAGGGTTGGGAGGAAACAGCACTTTCATTGTCAAATAAAAACAAAAACATACAACAGCATGTCTAAGATCAGGATCAGCTAGCTCCCACAGTATCTGTTTAGCTTCTCTGAGCTCTGGTTGGTTGGGTGGTTCCATTCGTTTCCCATATGTTACCGTGAACACTACGCTGGCAGTATGCTCCTCGCAGATAGAAATTACATCTCAATTCGATGATTCATACGCCATTGGTTGCCATAGGGAATAAATACAGGCTTCCAGAAGCTCGAGTAAGAGGTGAACTTTACTAGGATCTAGGCTTCTCAGTTTCGAAGTACAGCTATGGTCTCCGCCAAGCTGCCAAATTGTCCCGGCGCGCCAATAGGTATAGCTTGATCGTATCTTTCGCTATTCCCACCGTTCGAGTGTAATTATCTAATAATACATTTGTGATACATCCACCTGGGCAGCCCCAGGGAAGTGTTTGCCCGCCTGTACTCCCTGAATCCGTTATCAACGGTTGACACCAGACTCAATGACCGGGCCATTATAGGCCTTCCTCCCACTGATGAAATACCATACTAGCCCGATAAGGAACTCGCCAGTGAAAACTACAATTGACCAGTTCATGCTCGCCAGAGTGACGGGCATCTCGGCAGGAAAGAAGGAGAAGAAGATGGCAATCGTTAAGAAAGAAATTGAGGCCATATTGATAATAATGCCAAATTTGCCGAGCTTCCAGGGGCCATACGGAATCGGCTCTCCTCTGATCTTCTTTATGAGCATGAGGACAATGGCTATTTCGTAGGAACCGAACAGACCCGCCGTGGTCAGCGAGATGATGGCGTTGAATGCTGCCGTTGATCCGACGTTAATGATGCAGATACAGCCGGTTATGGATGCGCAGAGACCGACAGCGCGGAGAGGGAGTGCGGATTCAGAGCTGACCTATATGCGTGTAATAAAATTAGTCACTTCTCTCTACGGAGGCAAAGGGTGTGATAATCAGCCATACGTGAGCCAGAAAATTCGAGAATGGCAGTCCCTTGTCTCTGGCAAAGGCCCAGGTGAGACGTGATGCGGAGGCCAGGAACCCAAACGACGCGCAAATGACCAATGCTGTGGGAATGGCGGTCATCACGGATGTTCCCGCGTGGGACTTGGTGGCCGCGTAGAAGACTTCAATGAAGTCGTAGCCGGTGGCGCTGTTCAGGGCGTCATCCACGTTTCCGATACAGAACAGGAAAGCGACAACAATGGCGAACCCAAGGGTGCCGTTTAACAGGATTGTGCCGATCATGCACCAGGGAACGATAATAGAAGCATTGATGACTTCTTCGGCTGTGGGGATCTGTTAGTTTATGATATCTTCAATCACTGACTTGAATCTTACCCATATGGCACGGGCCGTCATAACCTGCAGAAAGTAGTTAGAAAAAGTCACATCCGAAGGAAGCATGGGTGTCGTACCAATGAATGGGAGGTTCGTGCCCACCAGGCCAATCAACCAGGTCAGACCTGCGTTGTTCCATCCCGAACTGTTTTGGAAAGTCCCAAAAACGAATGAGGCATCTTTGTGAGGTGCAAGATAAACGAGAGGAATGAGGACGGCGAAAAATCCCGCAATATGAAAGATCAGAATCAGACCCTCGACCTGAGGAAGTAGCTTTGCCCCGATGGAGTTGACAATCACGCAAATAATCAATGCAGCGAACATCATCAAGGTTCCTTGCCAGCCTTCTGCAACATAATTCGGGTAATTCAAGACTACAAGGCCCTGGGTGACTGTCGCCGCAAAATAGACACCAGCTGCAGTGTTGGCCCACCATCCAATCATGGCCATCCATCCCGTCACCCAGCTCAAAAATTTTGCCTGACCCTTCGGAGCTAACATTGCCACCCAGTGGTACTGTCCGGAGGAGGTAGGGGCCCTGTTGTCTGTTTAGTCTTGAGTCTTGGATTATTTGGGCGGTTTCATACATTGAGGCCATCTCAGCCAGCGAGGATGCAGTTACCAAAGCGCCAAACCAGCAAAATAAGAATCCATATACGAGCGTCACTGGGCCACCATCGATCATTGCAGTTAAATTAGCACTGACGTAAATGGTTAGTTTGAGTCCGATGAAGGTTGGGACAGCTGAATCTCACAAAAGCACAGCCTCCCAAGTGCACATCATGGTTGTCGTGAATCCCAACATGGACAAGAATCCAAAGTTTCGCTATTTGCGTTAACTAAATCCACCCCGAAATCTCTTCTTCGGTGAGGCCATACCTGAAACTGCTGCTTCTTGCCCTGCTTTGCCATATCTTCGGCATCACGACTCTTGTATTTGCTGGATCCCAACTCCTGGACCGCCATCTCGCCATTCTTGAAGGGCATTTTGGGGTTGTGTTGCAAAATCCGGCAAAGGTAGACTATAAAAGGGAACCCTGGGATGAGTCGGGATAGGGGGAAGAAGAAACTAAGAAACAAGCATTGAAAAATAAAAGACCGTGCTTACCACCCTTCTAGTTATCGGACGTCCAGATAGATACTTGGAAATGTCGCTTAGCCCTCGGCGGATTAATCAAGTTCACTTCGTGAATATGGGGACATTTTCCCGGTATCCGGATCCCTCCCAGATTAGGTGCAATCAATTTCCACTCGAGACAAAAGCGGGTATGTAGAATCACCGGGAAATTTGCAGCGCTATTCGTTGACACGCCTAGGCTACGTATACACTATACACTAGCTCAGTCCTTCCGGTGTACTCCGTATGCCACAAGGATTTATTATGGTATTTCCGAATTAACATCCCGCGCACGGTGTCCAGGATCGATCCCATTACATTAATTAGTTCAAAACATATTGGCAGATCAGAACCATGCCCCGCTGCTGTGGGGGCTGCATGTAGCAGTTCTAAGGTGCAATTGGGAGCGCAATCAGAAGCGTCATTGGTAGACTCGTACTTATCACAGAATCACTGTAAATATTCCGGGTGTAAATTTGCTCCTTTAATCCATATGTACGGAGTAGAAACCTTGTGGACGAAAAATCAACCCCGCTTTCACATCTATTTATATTTTCTCGACTCCCTACGGAGTACTTCCAGGATTGATATACATCTTCGACGCCTTTGCATCATTTGATTTATTCAACATGGATTCTATCATTGACTGGTCCCTACGTCCAGTCTACTCGCCGGAGCAATTGAAGCAGTACTTTAACCGGATTGATCTACCTCAAAAGTATCGGGAGTCACCGGTGGTCAAGTTTGGTGCAAGGGTCGACAATGAGGCCGCCCTAGCCTTTTTGAAAGTTTTGCAACGATACCAGGTGGCAGCAGTGCCTTTTGAAAATCTCAATCTGCATTATGCAGTCCACCGCTACATTTCCATTGACGCCCAGAAACTATTTGACAAGATAGTAGACTCCAAATCCGATCGAGGGGGTTACTGTATGGAGAATAGTACTCTTTTTGGGACCGTCCTGAGGACTATTGGATACAATGTCACCTCGGTCGGAGGTCGGGTAAATGAGGCGGTCCAGCCCATATCAGCTTCAAAGAACTGGAAAGGCCCAAAGTACGATGGATGGTATGGTCATTCCTTCGATCCTATATCTGAAACATACTGAACAGTCAAACGCAGGAACCACATGGTCAATATCGTTGCTATCGGCGAACAAAAGTACCTGATAGATGTGGGGTTTGGCTCGAATGGGCCACATCAGCCACTTCCATTGATCGACGGGTTTGAGGCGCACAATGTCGGCGACCAGTCTGCACGGCTCATCTATGGCCCTATCGCCCAGCACACGAGGGCTGGCCAATTCCTCTGGCAGTACGAGATCTCCAATGCAGGCGGGGCGTGGATTCCTGCCTATTGCTTCACTGAAACTGAATTCCTTCCGGAAGACTTTACGATCATCAATTACTATATGAGCACTAGTCCGGAGAGCTGGTTTCTTTTCCACGTGATGTGTGTACGGATGATTCTGGATAATGAAGGTGAAAAGGTCATTGGTGATCTAACACTATTCGACAATACACTGAAGCGCCGCTTGGGGGCCACGTCAGAGGTCCTGCAATCCTTCGCCTCCGAGGGGGAGCGTGTGGCTGTTCTGGAGAAATATTTTCACATTCCAATTCCAAAGGAAGATCAGGAAAGTATCTGCCAAACGACCTCGGAAATTCCATAATCTTGTTGTATAACACTTTGCAACCCCATCGATATTACAAATGATCGGTTGTCCATATTTTCACTAGGCAAGGCATTTGATTGATAGCTTACGTGTATAAATCATCAAACTACACCAATCACTCTCTACACTCTATTCATATGAGCAGCTCATTGGAGGATATGTAAATGGGTCCTTTGCAGGGGTCCGCGGGCCAATTTACGGATCCCCGACGGGGAACGCGACGGCAGGTGGGCACTAAAGCTATAACCCATAATAGACCGCCAAAGTCTGCGGCTATAGAGATCCCAATATATTGCTATCGCTATAGCCGAAATTAATCCAAGGCATTCCATTTTTGCAGGGCTAAGCAGGAGCCTTAATCTCCGGCTGTGCCCACGAGGGATATATCCATGTGCATTCAACCCGTAATACGTACTAGGATCTTATTACGGAGTCCAATACACCACTTACCCCTAAAGAGATAGTGGCAATTGAATTAAAACTCTGTAAACTTTGGCAAAGAAGAAAAATGGCAAGATTCTTCGTAATGCTGTACGTACGATTATCTATCTATGTATAAATCTACCATCAAGCCAAATTTAGGCTGGCACAAAAGCCCTGCATCTCTAAATTCTTGAATAAATGCATGAGCTATCTATTTTGTTGTTTGTACGGGTCTTATGATGAATATTGCAAGCTATTTTCAAATACGCACCACCGGCAGACGCGAGGACTCGTCTACATTCGATCATGGAGATGAGGTTGCTATTGCGGCCTTGTACCTCTTGGTGATGATGATAACGGCTGTGCTGATCCGACTTGCCTTTCGATTATCTATGCTTCGCTCATTACAACGAGATGATGTGATAATTTGCCTTGCGCTGGTATGCATTCCCACTTGTGCATTACGACACCTTTTGACTAGATCATTGTCGTCCAGTCTCTAATGCCGAGCTTTCAAAGGATAGGTCTTCGGCATCGCGCAATCTGGCTTTATCTTCCAAGGGACAAAATATGGTATGGGAAAGCGTCAATCTGCCTTAAGTACGCAGCAAGTGATCGATGTGGAAAAGGTGAACCATTCTTCCTGAGTCAGTGCGATAATATCTACTAATGCCAACATTGTTCTTAGATCCTATATGCATCTGATCTCCTTTACGTTCTTGCCCTTAGCCTCACGAAAGTCTCAGTCCTGCAATTCCTGAATAAACTGTGTGTTAATAAATCACACAAAAAAGTATGCTTTTGGTCATCGATCGTCGTTTTAGTCTGGACATTTCCAGTCTTCTTTACTTTGGCTTTCAAATGTGGAGCCCTAAGGCCATGGGAAATGGATAATGGCAAATGTATTGATACTGTGAGCATTGACCTTTGACCCCAGCAATCCAATTCATACTCACAGCTTGATTTCTATAGTTCCGATTTTGGACAGCCATATCCTCCGTCGATATTCTTACAGAGTTAATCATCTGCCTCCTCCCGATCTATATTATCAAGCCCGTTCAGGTTAGCTTTGGAAAGAAAGTCCCCGTCGTGGTCGCATTCGCGTACCGCCTAACGTACGTAAGATCTTCCTGTCTCTGAATTCACGAATTTTCAACTAACTGGGTGCCCAGTGTAATAATAGCGACCATCATGCGCCTGGTTTTCATGCGCAATGCCCCCAATTCCACAGATATGACACAATCCGCCTTCGAGACCAGAATCACCACCCAATGCGCCCTGTGCGTCACCCTCATTACAGCATGCATTCCCTGCTTAAAGCCCTTTCTCGACGCTTTCGATAGTGGAATGCTCGGAGTCGGTCTGCGAAAGCGCACTGGCAGGAGCCGTAGTGACTCGTATAGCAACTCATATGCGTTGGCGAGTATGAGCCGTGGAGCAAAGGAGACCACAACGCGTTCTCGATACTTGGAAGATGAGGTCGAGGAACTCGGAACGTCGGCCGCTGCTTTTGCAATTACCTCGCCGGTCAAGCCACACCAACTAGAGGAAATCAGTCCTTCGATGGGAATCCAAAGGACGGATCAGTGGAGCGTCAGGTATGAGTATGTCGATACAAAGCCCAGGTCTTTCGGGGAGGGGTTAGAGGAGTCGGAGACAAGCGGTAGTCAAGTTGAGCATTCATTGTGATGAGGACCACGTAAATTTAGTTATCGGTGGTCTTTGTATTTTCATGCAGCTTCAAGATTGCTTAAAAATAGAACACTGGACATGACCAACCATCAATACTAAGAAAGCCTGTGGTCAATTCCGTCGACACAAAATCTGGACGAAACATGACAAAAACAACATCATTTTTAAAAAAAGATAAAAAAACACAAAAACAAAAGCATATAACAGCCAGCATTTGTATGTGGTCACCTATACCAACTATCTTCAATATCAATCATTTATTCGTGCAGACTACGATAGCAAAGGGTGTGCGATGCTAGGATAGGCTATCGGCTTAAGGACTCAAGAATCAATCCACTTTAAGCAAGGAAATGGCCTCGATGCAATGTTGGCAAGACTGACACCTTTGTGTTACTGGCACCACTCTGTGCGACACGAGTAAATCGGGGGGAAACATAGTATATATCTTACTTATAATCAAGCGGGGTGTTACGCACAGCTAACTGGTCGTCGTTAGGTTGGTTAGAATCGGGAGATACTTCAGAACTGCCTAAGCTTGATAAACCAACCTATAAACGCGGGAATTTATCTATTACAGCTCGCGTTACGACGTATGGGATGTCTATACCCTTAGTCCGAGAGGAGTGTTCCCTCTACTATTACCTATTATAAAACCGCTGTTTACGAGTTTCTCGCTGCGAACGCAGATCCGCTAGTTCGTGATAGCCGTGGAAACACCACCCTTTATTACCTCGGAGGGACTGTGATAGGCGAGAGCGTTCGAATGGGCGATGAGCAAAGGCGTCTGCTTTAGGTGTTTATAGACCGTAGGGTCGACGTGAAGGCGCGGAATAAGGATAGTGCCTCGGCGCCTGAATTTTTCTTTACGACGGGATATGACGGTATGTCCGAAGACTCCGGTGATAAAGAGGTCTTTGGTGCTATTAGCAATGAAGTCCTCGAGACTTTTGAGAAAGCAGGCTATGACATTATGACGAAGGATGCGAATGAATAGTCGCTATTGCATCTAGTGGCTGGTCTCCGATCTAATCGTTCCGATTCATGGTTGATACTTCTGTTGGGGCTGCTAACTATGGGGAGAGAGAGAGAGAAGAGGAATCATGATCTATTCAATCTATCTAGAGCAGGGGATTTATACCCTGCCAAACAAAGAAAGGCTCAGTCTGCAAACAAATGGAGGCATCAATGAGATGACTAGACAAAGGCATCAATGGGATGACCGACATAGTCCAACACAGCCCCCCAGACTGAGCATCAAGTCAAAAAACATTCTGGTTTGCATAGTAAAATCGTCAAATAAAATGCAGTTTTCAAAGTATCGTATTCCGTCAATTTCGTCAATTTGTAACCTTCAATTTGTAGGTTTCTTCAAACCTTCTTCACCAAGTAATCTCTCATCCTTTCGAAATCAACCTTTGACAGTGCTTTTGTCAATGTATCTGCAGGGTTTTCCTTGGTGTCGATGAGTCGTATCTCGATCAATCCTTGCTTCATCGCATGCTTGACGAATTGGTATTTGACATCCAGCCATTTGGTGCCCTTGTTGAATGCGTCCTTCTTCAGGATTGAAACGGCGTTGTCGCTGTCAGTGCAAATCGGCACCTGGATTGTCGTATTTTCTAGATTCAGCTGCTGTAGAATCTTGACGAGATAGAGTGCTTCCCGTACTGCACCATCGAGAGCGACGTATTCGGCGATGGTGCTTCCTGTGGCGACGACGTCTTGTTTCCGTGAGCACCATGAAATTGGTGCGCCTGCGTAGTAGAAGATATAGGCTTCGGTTGACTTTCCATCTTCGTAGTCGTTGTACGAAGAGTCGACGAAGCCAACTAGGCTTTGGCTAGGATCCTTTGCGAGCTGAATTCTATAGTTGGGTGCTCCTTTCAAGTAGCGTAGAAGCTGGGAGAGAGTATTAAGATCTTCCTTTCTTGGATTGGCAGTCCTTCTCTGTAGTCGATTGACAGAGAAAGCAATGTCTGGTCTGGTCCTTATTGTCAACTAGCCCACCTTGCCAACGTCTTCTCCGAATGCTGCTTTCTCGCTCTGTGAAATGGCATCGTCTTCATTTTCTTGGTGGCCTTCTTGTTGATCATCCGATGTTGCTTCCTGGGCTGAAAAAGGCGTTTTGTAGGAAGCTTTTATAGGGAGATAGGTGGCAGAGACTCTTCCTAAGCTTGCTGTCTGTAGGAGATCTTCCATATAGGCAGCTTGATCAATGAAAATGGTGTCTTCTTTTCCATCTTCTTTTGATCTGGTGATGCTGGTTCCAAGAAATCTGCTAGGTTCTCTAATGACTTTGATCTTGAAACTGACTGTCTGTTTGAACCATTCGATGCTTTCTTTTGACGTAGAAGCACACAGAGTATCATCTATATATAGCAAAAGCTATATGTCTTTCTCTCTATGGACGAAGATGTATCTTTCATCTGGCAGTTGTTCAAAACCAAGCTTTTGCAATTCCTTCTTGATCGTTTCATACCATAAGCAGGCAGATTGACGAAGGCCGTATAGCGCTTATAGGATCATGCATACCATACCTAGCTTCTCATAGCCGGTTGGTGGTCTCATGAAAATGTATCTGTCGTCGATCAAGGCATTGAGATAGGCGGTTGTGTAGTCAATTTGTTCCCAGTATAGCTGTCGAATAGCTACTATTGAGAGAAACAACCGAGTACTCTTAGGCCTTGCAATAGGAGCGTAGGTATCGTCAAAGTCAAATCCTGGACGTTGTCTGTTGCCATAGATAACCCATCTTGCTCTCAGCTCTGTCACAAAGTCTTGCTTGTCACTCTTCTTGTCGAATACCCACTTGCCGGGTAAGATAGTGCTTCCTGCTGGTGGTGTTTCGACGTACTGGTAAGCTTTGGCGGTATTAAGCTTTATGATCTGGTTGTCTATCGCTTGTTTCCAGAGCTCCCATTCAGGTGATTTCTTTGCTTCGGTGAGGTTCCTTGGGATCTTGACCTGCCAAGATTTTAAACCCTGTGGAATGCTAATGGTAGCTTGGACGATTCTAATAGCGGATATAGCACTTCCTGGTGAATCTCTTGATATGTTTCTAGATCTTGGTGGTCTCAAGTTGCCTCGCTTGTCCTATTCCAGATCATCGTATCTTTATAGTGCAACGCCGGCAGTTTGACGTCCTGATGTCCTGGTTCTCGCACGTGGTGGCGGGGTTGGTGACATTGCTAAGGGATTAGGAGAAGACGATGTTCTATATCCTTCTGCTGGTGTTGTAGTGCTTGGTGATAGCGTCGGCATGAAACTGCCTAGGGCTTTTTCAACGGGTCTTAGAGTGGTATATGGCGTATACAGTTCTTGTTCGTCATCGTCAAGTTCAACCACTCTCGGTTCTGGAATTTCAGTATACTGCGTAGTCGATCTTATCGTTTTCTGGGTAGTGATAACTGGTGAACCAGCTCTTATTTCAAAGGCTTGGATGTTAGGGCCGTCAATGATTTCTCTACTAATGACGATCTCTCTGTCATCATAGTGAGGAATGCCATGCTTTTGCTCCCAGAAAACAACGTCTCTATATCTAGAAACTTTCCTGGTTTTAGGATCATAGATCCTATAGATATGGCCGTTGTCACCTTCGTAACCAATAAGGTGGCCAATCCATACTCTGGCTTCCATCTTCTAGCTTTGGATTCGCTTTTCCTTTAGAATGTGGACATATACTTTCGCATACCATACTCGTAGGAAGGAGAGAGAAGCATTGTCTGGCGTTCTCATATTCAATCCTTTCCTCTAAGCAATGATTGGTGCATCTTGTTGCTTTCCGTCTGGGGCTTTCTTTCGTAGACGGTTGGTGATGTATGCAGCTGTGTTCAAAGCTTCTAACCATAGTTCTTGGGGAGCGCCGGCGTCAATCTTCATTATCCTTACTATTTATAGCAAGTAATGGCCGGTGAATTCGGAAACGCCATTTTGTTTATAGGTATAGGGAATAGAGATAGTAACGATTATGTTTCTCTCACTATCTCTCGCCCAGGTGGCGAATACTAGGAATTCTCTTCCTCCGTCGATTCTCTATTCAACTGTCCATTCACTAGTTCTCTAGTAAATCTCATTAGCGAATTTCTAGAGAACGGGGGAAGCTTCTCCCTTAGTGGTAAGGTATAAAGCAAGTCGAAAGCGAGTGGCATCACAAGTGATAACCATGGCATGGTTCCGGTCATTTTTACCATTTTCCGCATTAAAGCCGGGTGGACTAACTGGTTGTAGATCCACATGAAACATATATGCCGCTCTGGTTGCTCTCGCTTGGTTTGTTCTTGACACAATGCGCTTTGACTTTCCAAGGCCGTATGCCTCGTAGTCAAAATCGTCATATTGAATCTCACAGCCGAGGTCGTTTTGGTTGACTTTTATTTTATAACTTCCGGCATGTCCAAGTCGACAGTGGGCTAGCTCGGCGGAGATAATTGCTCCGGCAGCTAGTGTTAGTGATGCCAGTTGAATGAATGGCACTCGGTTGAAATCCTTAGTGAAGCTAATAACAATATTATCCTTATCGTGTAAGGATTTTGTTTTGCTGTGCCACTAAATGCCGAGTTCTTTTTCGGCCGTTCTAAGTAAGAAAAGGTTGTATTAACCGCCGCTTTTATAGACACAATAGATGCTTAATGTGAAGCATGCTTGTATAGTTTGGGCGTCGTCATTTCCAAGGTGCAAGTTTAATTTGATAATTCCATGGGATTCACCCTTGACTTTCTCATTTCCAGAGGTCATCCATTCGTATTCCTGACCTTCGGGATAGTCTTCCAGGGTGCTAAATGCAGATTGATCGCTACAAATGTGTTCAGATACGCTAGTATCCAGAATCCATGGATATCCTAGGGCGGTGGCAGATAGTTGGATAGCTACCATTGAAGTATTTAACGCTTCAATCTAGGTGTTTTCATCTGTTTCCCGCTCTTTAGACATTACATTTGACGTTTCAAGCTGGGTGTTGACGGTTGTTTCTTGGTTTTCTCCGTCGATTGGGGCTTCTTCCTGGCTCTTTTCATCTGCCATAATATAGGAAGGGTTGAAATCCTGCAATAAGTCGATTTCCAGACTTATCATGATGAAACCGGTGCTGCTTTCTGGCGTAGAGAGGTTGGCTTGTCGTGTCCTATCTATCACTAGGCCCTAGATTGGTTAAGATTTGTCTTGCTTGAATTCCGTTTTGCCGTTAGAGGATGGCGAAGTGGAGGAGGGAGACATATTATTGTCTCTCCATTTATAGGTCCAGATTCCAGCTCTCGGCGTCCAGTTCTCCCTTCGTATCTCTAGGACTAGATAGAAGCATCTGGTTGTTCCATGGCCTTTCCCGCCACAGTAAGTGTAATTGCCGTTGTCACTCCTTTCTAGTTTATGGCCTTTCCATTTGTTGACATGATCAAGTGCTAAAACGCCTTTCGGTGGCGTATTGGTTGGGCGGGAGTATGAAAAATTGGAATTGGCATTTATATATGAATTCGAACCGTTGGAATTGTCTTGTCGACGTTGTTGAGTGCCGTTTGAGACTGCCGATGATATCAATCCCGGTGAGTTGTCGTTTTCCGATTTGATGTGGTCCAAGATAGCAATGCTATATTGGTAGAAGTCGATGGTGGTGATGTTCTTGACCGGTTCGTTGATGGCATTTAGCTCATTGTCCTTGACGACAATGTAGCTTTTCAATTCCGGTACATTCATCAATTCCTGAAGCATGATTTGTAGAGCGAAGTATGGTGGAATGTGTGCATAAAGATCGGTGAGGTTTTTATATGCTGTTTTCAATCCATTGATGAATTCCTCGCTGCTGTTAAATTGGTGGCGGGTAATGAATCTGAATTTCAGCGTTGCCTTCTTCAAAGCACTATGTCCTTCTCCTTTCATATGCTTCTTCAGTTCGTCAAACAGCTCGTCGGCGAATTCGATGGTATTGCCGCGGCGGTTGATTTCCTGCATCAAGTCGTTATCTATACTACTAGACAACCAGCTTCTTACTTGCTTTGATAGAGTCTTCCATTTCCGGCCGTCGGGGTTACTTTTCATCGGCCAGGGGATCGAACTATTGATCAAGTTGTGTAGATTGTGTCCTTCCAAGATCTTCTCGATCTTGTCAATCCACATATCAAGATCCTCTCTTTCTTTGAGAGGCGGGGTGATTTTGTAGAGGTTGAAGCTTCCGATGTCAGGCAGGCCAACAGATTGGTTAGTTACCTCGGGTGCTTCGCTGTCATTGTGCCAGTCGTTGTTATCGTCATCGACCGGTGGTGGTTGTTGTTGTTGTTGAGCGTCAGCCATATTGAAGATGGATGATAATCTCAATCAACGTGATAGATCTTTGAAAAAATGATCTGAAAATGGAGCAATCAGTGCTCAGTTGTCGGGATAGTGCATGAAAGGCACTTCCAACATGAAGGTTCCACAAAGAAAATAGCACTTCCGGTGCTATTCCTAGTGGCCTGTGAAGCTTCCAGAACAAGATATACCACTTGCAGTGCTATTCTTGGTGGAAGAGATGAAGGTACGGCACTTTGTAGTGCTCACCTTGATGAAAAACGTCAAGATAACTGATGATCTTGATGGAAAGTGATGCTTCCAACCAAGATATAGCCTTTGGAGATGCTATTCTTGATGGAAGTGATGAATGAAGTGATGATTCAGGGTTCAGAGGAAGAAAGAGGGCGTCATAACCTGTTGGGGCTGCTAACTATGGGGAGAGAGAGAGAGAAGAGGAATCATGATCTATTCAATCTATCTAGAGCAGGGGATTTATACCCTGCCAAACAAAGAAAGGCTCAGTCTGCAAACAAATGGAGGCATCAATGAGATGACTAGACAAAGGCATCAATGGGATGACCGACATAGTCCAACAACTTCTCCAAGAAGAGGACTCGATCCTATGGCCTAAGATAAGAATGGATGGACCCCTATTGATATTGCTAGAGAAAATGGGTATGTCTATCTCTACAAGTGAGGGTTTGAGTTGGAACTTTGAAGGATAGCAAGCAGATCAGTTTAGGAATGATGACAGTTTAATCTCGATACATCTCAATTAGGGTGCAATATTTTTATATTGGAATACTTTGAATTGAACGGATAAGGCCGGTCATGTATATCGTAATACATGTTGTGAAATCTGGAGCGCTACACACATGTAAGTAGTGCAATCCGATACCATAGTTATCAAATTTACGAGAGATATGATAGTATTAGTACTCACTATGCCCGCTTCGCCAATATCAAATACTTGGGCCTACATACATCAGAGTCCTTCACTAAGACAAGACCACACTTTCACGGCCTTTCCCGCGAAACAACTGGATATGAATTCATCATGTCAATCAGCATAAAGGGACAAAGATGCCAGTTTTTCCTTGAGTGTTGTGCTCTAGTAAACTTGTATGGCCCCTTTAGTCCACCCGAGAATTCTCGTGTGAATTGCTTAATCACCTCCGACCAAGCCAGCTTTTGTTCGGGATTATAATTAGACTTCCGCAAAGCCCAACCCTAAAACCCATCGTGGGCCCCTATTGGGTCCCCACGAAAGCCCACAATTACATAAAAAACTAGTCTTGGCGTTCATACAGCCACTGAGTCATTAAAATAAATGACTGTTTTTTACAACAGTTCTGGTTTGTCTATTGAATATTGCTACATTTGCACTAGAATAAGTTGGAAATTTTTCAAAAATACTCTGAATATAGCTTCAACAATAGTAGTTTTCAAATTCAGTTTTACTTTAACCACGCAGGTTATCCTAAAGAATTTGAGTCTTTTATCGAACGATGTATGGGAGGGGGGGGGGGTTGTTGATCACGGGCAAGGCGGGAGCTGGACCGGCCCGCGATTCGAGCCGAAGGTGGAAACGAGGACGGGTGAAAGGATAATCCGAAATGGTCCTGCTACGTACCGTCTCTCCTACGGTGGTGCGGTGTGCCCACAATACCCAATTGATTCGACCGCCCCAGTCTACCCCAGCCGGCACGCTTGTACACTTCAGCGCTCTTGCACGCAGCGGAGAAGCAGCTCGGCGGTGGCAAGTGTGAACCTGCGAAGAAGCTCACTGATACCGGCCGTGAGCAGTTGGACAAGGCTGGGTATGATTTCCCGCGGGACATTAATGGAGCGAAGTCAGCGCTAATTCCATATACAGAAACGGCGTTCCCGAGAAGTCCTCACACTAAACACTCGGAAACATCATATCGAGAGATATTTCTCACGTGTGTAAACTTCGAAAGGGAAATGATACCCCTTAGAAGATCATGAACATACGTACATACATGTACCACAATGAATATGGTTGAATAATGATATCATATTGAATTTAAATCAATCAAAAGCTGTATATCGAGGTACAATAATGGTATAATAATCATAGAACACCGTCAATATCGCTGCAAGTTAGACAAAAACCCTCCCAGCCCCGACCCTAGGCCCCGACGGGTGTACATGGTGTTTGCCCGACACAGTTGAAGCTGAGCGTTGATGCGTTCGGTCGCTGTTGAGTCGGCCACCCGCATATTCGCTACAAGACGCTCGTAGTACTTCTGGGCGGGTTCATACTCTTTAGCGTTGAAGTGTAAATTGGCCAGCAGCTCCAATGTAGCTTGCGTTTCGGGGTTGTCTTTGCCTTTGCGATGTTCAACCCAATTCAAATATCGTGTCAACCAAGGGAAAGCCTCCGAAGCACGACTGTTCGTAAGTAAACCTTGAGCATAGCCATTTTGCAGAGCGTACATGACGCCAATGTTGCCCACAATATCCATTGTCAGCGGATGATCGGGTCCAAACGCTTCTTCCGCACTGGCCAGAGCCCGGCGCAGGGTCTCTGAGGCCTCCATACTCTGCTGCATGAAGCTTTGTGCTCGGCCGTGGAGACAGAGAGCGCGAATAGTAGACGGGTGTCCATGACCCAAGGCAGTCCGAAGCTCTTGGTAGACCTGTAACAATATCTCCACCGCTCGTTGTACATCGGGTTGAAAACGCATAACAATTAGGGTACTTGCGTCTCCAGATTGGTTGCTCACGATATATTCCAAAGCGTCCAACGCGGAGCCGAATACACGAATGTGGGTTTCTCCAAGCAGACGCTTTAGGGTGTCTGTTAGCTTTTCTGCAGTCATGACGGCATTTTCCCGGCGACCTAGCGCATTGTAGGTCATTCCTAGTCGGCGCCGAGTGTCACAGGTGTCCAAGTGGTCTTCGCCGATAGTCATTTGCTGGCGGGCCAACACATTGGCGCAGACCGACTCAGCCTCTTGATACTTGCCCTGCTGACACAAGACCTCTGCGATCAAACTTTCCGTCTTCATTGTCAGAGGATGCTTTGTCCCAAAGACGCGTTGGGCATTTTCAGACACCCAGTGACACCATTCATTTGCTTTCTCCAAGTAGTTGGACTCCAGCTCCACTTCAGCTAGGTTGTATGCAACTGATAATGTACTGAAATGATCCGGACCAAGGCTACGCAAATGCTCCTGGAAAATCTCATATTCGACGGTTCGGGCTTCGTCCCACCGAGCCCGATTCTTGAGTTCTGCGGAGCGAACAGATCGTGGGTCATTATCCAGAGCATTGAACATCGCTCCTGTCACCCTTTGCGCCGAGGGAGGTGGGCGCCCCTGCCCCTGGTATGGCGTGCTACTATTAGAATGAATGCGTGGTGGCACTGGCGGTGGAGATGAGGCGGCACTGGGAGGCATCGATTGTGGAATGAAGCCATGCTCCGACAAAAGCGCCTGATCGACCAAATGTTTGATATTTCCTTTGATCAAACGGTACATAGGACCCCGAGAGCCCACCTTGCACATCTGCGAGTGATCTGCGTCGAGCTTGAGTTGGGTTTCGCGTAAACCGGACAATCCAAGAACCGCAGACTCTTCATCAACCACAAGCTTTTTCAATATCAGCCCTCTATTCTAGGGACAAAAGGATGGAGGGACCGGGGTGTAAACTGATAATCAGTGGAAAAAATCTGCTTACATGGCTGATGGATGCTGGTCCAACTCCCCCTATCTGCACCTCCTTCCCTTCGATAAAGCTAACAACACGATAATCTTCTAGTTGATGTCGGAACCGATCAGTCATTTGTCGGGTAAAAAGGGAATTGTATTCCAGGCAGTCCAGAAGGTCATTGCTGGCATGACCTTTGGAGACAAAGCGGGCAACCCGGGCTGCAATTTTCCCCAGTTCCACAGCTTTCGCGCCACGATGAGGTGTTCCGAAGAAGACGAGACCAGAAGTTGCCGAACGAATAGAAGTATATTTTGGATCTTCTTTGGCATTGAGAAGTGCCTATACCATGAATCAAATTAGGACTGTCAGAAAGAGGCCGTAAGAAAAAGGCCATGGGATATTATATCTGACCTGTTTGATCACTAACCCCCCCAAGCTATGTCCGATAAATATCACTTTCGGTGGAATAGAGCCCTATGAAACTGTTAAATGACCATTCAAACGAAGATTTCTGGCTCCTATTCTTTACCATCTGGGGGCTGCGTTCCATATCCAATAAATTCAACAGCGTATTCGCATGGTCCTTGATGCTTGCCGTGGACATGGTCTGTGGATGGGTGATACTTGAATTGTATCCATAGACAAAGACGCGCGCATATGGAATGTCCTCGGCCAGGAAGTCCCTCGGCCAAAACTTGCCATTGCTATGCGTCCATGTCTGGAAAGGATGATCATTTCGACCGCTTGGGTTCAGGCCATGAACGAAGACAAAACTAACGAACATTAGGACAGGTTTCTTAGATAAACATATCGGAGCTTGGTATTCATACTCGACCTTATGCGATTCAAGAGGAGAGAAGACCTCCTGCAAGAAGGGAAACTCAAACTCCCCCGTATCCTAGACTTTGTTTAGAGTCGTGCCTTGGCCATATAGAGATAGAACCCAAGCCTTACCATTCTCAATACCCAAGCGCTACCGTGAAAGAGTTATTTGAATAGCAAAGAGTCAATAAAACGTCCTCCGGTTTCACAAAAGACCATAATTTAAGAAGGGAAAGTGGGATGAAAGCGAACAACACGAAGCTGACGGGCTGAACATGTGACTTTCTCGCCTGATAGGCAGTGCCTAGCATGAATGAATACATCGTACTCCGTAAACATTTGGAGATAATCAGGTAATCCCTAGGTGCAACCAATGACATCGAAAGATCGAGTTCGGCAAAAATTGCCTAAACTGTATATTGTACGGTGCTTCGTGGCTTTCCCTCGGATAGAAAACCCCTGTCAGCGGGGTTATCCGGCGCGATGCATCACACCTGGGCACACGCATGGTATTGGTGGAGTGTTTCGAGGCTTTATACTCCGTAATGAGAGACTCAACCAATTGTTTCCTTCTTACGCCCGGTCATCTCGCTCAGCCCCGTCTTCTTTCAATGCCAGGTTTCGTAAGCATGGAGCATAAAACAGGGTTCCGCGCCATGCTCCGTGTGCAGTCCGTGATGAAACCAACATCCAGAATAGGAACACTGCGCCACTTAAGGTCTTCAGAAGTAATGTTAGCACCCATCATTTGTTTGGAGAGCAGAAAACGAAAAAGAATATGATGGACGTACGGTGCCGAGAACTTTGAAGAACATGATGTCCATTTCAAGACCCAATTCAATAGTGTTTGCAGCATATACCCCAAGCGGGAACGTAAATCCCCACCAACCCATATTAAAAGGAAACGGAGAGCTGTATAGAACGGTAGCTAGGGCAAAAACGAGCCAAATCAAGCCGAAGCTCCACATGAGGAGGGATATAAAGACACCCAAGACATATGCTATCTGGCCTGCGATAGGGTCCAGGAATTGGGAATCCTGCAATAATACCCGTGCTACTTTCCCAATGTAAAGGATTCTGGAAGCGTATTAGCTAGAGTATTAGGGCCCCAGGGGAAATCAGCGATACACTTACCCGAACCCACCAAAGCCAAGTGGCCCCAGGGGTAGAAAACAGCTCACAATCAGTTCCCTCGGTGGCAGCTTATGCACTGCTAGTCGATGTAAATAGATTACCAATACCGCAATGGCCAACGGAGTGCCCATACCCCAGAGGATGAATGAGACGAGGAGAGTTCCCAGCGCATGTTGTTTGTTTGGTAAGATAAGAGCAACCTCTGCGCCAGCACCCGCTGCGACAATAGTTGCTGCGATTGGCAATAATTGAACCGCGGTGATCCGATCTAGCGAGGTGATATCGCGCTGAGATATTCTGATCGGATGTCAGTATATTAAACATTGGTTGGTGGAGGACTGTATACTGACAAAATGAAGGACAGAGACAGGGTCACAGAAGCCGCAGCTACCACGTCTATCATCCATAAAGCCCACGCAACTGTTTTGGCCCATTCGCCCCAGATTGGCACGCAAATAAACACCCACATCTCAATGAGGGTAGCAAAGCCCATCGGGATTGTCGCCAAGAAGAGCGAATTGTTTGGGTCTTGGATCATCACATTCCATATTTCAGGATAAAAGGTGTACCGGAGAATAGAAGTAAGAAAGGCTAGAGTAAATAACACCACATTGAGTAGGAAGAAGACAATCGACAAGTAATAGAGCACTGGAGTATCGAAAGGGATCGATGTCATCAACACCGAAACAATGCCAGTGCCCATAGTCACCGCAAACCATCTACATGTTTCTTCTATTAGCACAAACCGGTAGTCCTTGGAAAGGGAAGACCATACGACGGACTGAAATTCCGGACGATGTGTCTCCATCCTATGTTATACTTCACCGGGCTTTTGGCGCGGAGTGGTTTAGATGATTTTGCCATATGAAATGAAATCCACGAAAGGTCGAGAATAGTCTTGAGAAGAAAAACGGACCCATTTTGTAGATCAACGCCTGGGGGGTGGGCACCAGTCGGCCGAGTGCGGAAGTCGCCGAGACGCGTGGGATTATCTTCATATTGTCCACGAGTGTGTATTATTCAGTGTTTAGGGTCTTATTAAGTTTAGAACGAGTTATCCCATAGTTAAAAAAAATTTGATTATAATATAGCCTCTCTTGGCCATAATCAGATACCTGGTTTTTGCCATGCTCTAGTTAGCGGTGGAATGCCGTAGTTATTACTTACTGTTGAAACTACAAGAGAGCCTACGGGGAGAGAAGAAGAAGAGGAATCATGATCTATTCAATCTATCAAAAGCAGGGTATTTATACCCTGAAGCTAACAAAGAAAGGCTCAGTCTGCAAGCAAACAGGCATCTATGAGATAACTGCACAAAGGCCTGAACAAAGGCATGAAAGGCATTAATGGGATGGTTATACAAAAGCATCCAGGGTGACTGAGGCATGCATGCATAGTTCAACACTTATATCACATTTGCTTGACGCAAACATACCAAGAAAAGCCACTTTATCAACGAGTGGAAACAAGAAGCTCAGTCATCGATCGTATTGCAAGCTGATAGAGAACTGGAGGAGGAGAAAGAATAACGAGAAAGAGAGAGAGAGAGATGAAAGAGAAGAAACAGTATATGGCCTGAAGAATTAGGCACTAACACACTTTAATCTAACTAACTAACTAAACCACTGGCCATCCGCTTGAGAAATCGATCTTATTCCACCCAAAGAGTTTCTGGCCATCGGCATAGCCCACAGTGGTATCAACATAGTGGTAGTAAAGCACTGGGCCGAGGGTAGGATCGGAAAACACACCCCTGGAGAAAGGTTAGGCCAATGTTCGAGTTTGGAGAACGATCCAATTCGAGAACTTACTGTCCACCAGGACCGTAGACTGTACCGTGACTTTCTAGAACAACTGTGCCACCCCCGTTGGTGCAAGCAGTACCTGCGGCATCAACCTTTGATAGGAAAAGAGTTAGGGTGAGTGTCAAAGCAGGAAAACATTGGGTAACATACAAATCCGCTAGTAGGTGAGGTCGATCGGCAGACCTTGATCTTGTATTCTGCTCCGCTAGCGGGGCGAGATGTGTCGTAGCCACAACAGATGCCGGCAGAGTAAAAGAGATAGTAGTAGCTTCCATACTTATACATATAGGCCCCCTCCACAGCGTGTGTTCCAGAGGAGTCATACGCCAGATTGTTGGACGAAGATGCGACTTTAGTGGCATCCGAGCTCATTGGAGCCTGATAGATATCGTGCCAAAAGGAGCCGAAATTCATATAGTAAGTACCACCATCATTGAACAAATTGCCATCGATGGCATTGTATGCCTTGGCAGACGACGAGGCAATACCAGTTGCTCCATGGTCAGTCCAGGAGCCTGACTCCATGGTTGAAGATGTGGCTAGTCCAAGGGCCGAATTCTGTGAACCAAATGTCGATACAGAGTAATAAACATAGTAAAGACCATTCACAAGCTGCGCATCGGGGGCCTGGCATAGAAGTCAGTACAGAGTATGCTCATTACTTGCAGACAAGCTTTGCCCGAAAGGATAATACTTACCCACAGGTCATCATTTCCGGCGAGATCAATAGAAGATCCACTAGGCAACATGGACCCAATGGTAGTCCATGGGCCGTTGATAGACGAGGCGCTCGCATAAGAAATCTTGTTGCCAGTAGAAAATCGGAAATAACGCTTGTCCGACGATCTTTGTATCAACGTCGGGTCGTGCACATTGCAGGCCCCTGAACAACTGCCAGGGTTTGCATATCCGTGCACGAGGACTGCGAACAGCACTGGTTTGATGATATTACCAAAATGCATCGAGAGAAGATGATTTGTATGTTGGACGAAGAACGATCAATATTCATCAGTGGGCTGCACATATGTATTTGTATACATTATTTGGCGAGGTTATGGCAGGAAATCATTCGTGGAAATCCGGATTTCCCCCCCCACCGGGCAACGGGGGAGATCTTCTTCTGCAGCGAGCATATCCGATAGCCTGGATATAATATAGAAGAGAGGGGAAATAAATCAAACTCAGGGGTAAGAGTATGAAATCCTTCAGGAGATGACTAGTGGGGATTAGAGCACCGACTGGTGGAATTGCCGAAAGCCATAAGCGCCACCATGCAACAGAAGCACGCCAAGTTCCGGGGAATTCCAGTTCGAAACAACAGTCGTTTTGTCACGGATGAAAGGAAGTGTAAAATACCCGAAGAATGTCTCGTAACTGGAGTCTCGAGTGTAGCGATATTGTAAAACTGAAGTCGCATCGTCTACGTTTAAGCTTGGTTTATTGAATGGTTATGCATAACCAGGTCCACAAATATTCACAGCAAACCAGCCATAACTCTCGTCAAGGCCTCGTCCTCGGCATGAAAGGCGTCCAGCACATTAGGCGAACGTGTGTCATCTGGAGGGGCCAACCCCACATCTGCTCCGGCGGCAATGTCCGAACCGGGTTGAGGGTCAAAGTAGAATCCACCTGCAATTTCAAAAAAGCTGCTCAAGTCTTCGCAGACCTTGGATTCAGATTCAGCTACTGTACCAGGTGACATTGGCCAGAAAGCGTTAGATGAGAGCTGAGGAGTAGCCTCCCCAGATGTTTGATGGAGGCTGGGAGTACAACGTGCAGCAGCAGACTCTGTTGTGATTGATACCGGCGTTGTCTCCCAAATGCTGCGGGATGAGTAGAACTTATTTTGCGATGCAGCATGCGAATGAAGCTCAGATGTCTCTTTCTCATCCTTGGAATCTGCCTTTGGGGGATGACCTCGATGAATAGATGATTGTCGGCCAGCTTCACTGTCCCATCCGAGGTTCAATCGAATCCGTTTCAAACTGTGAAGGATCTTTTGCAATCTCCGGGAAGTACGGGCACGGGTTGCTGAGCGGCGAACCATGTCCACAGCCGTATAAAATTCGGGCCGGCAAGCATGGCTGAAACGGCCCGGGGCATGTAAAACGGCCAAGAAGAGAGCGGCAAGGGCAGATAAGAGAAAATAGTTGAATGGCTCCGGGCGCTGGAAATATATACTTGAGACCCGACTGAAATAGTCTAGCATATGAACGGTGCTCTTCGCCGTTTCCACGGCGGTCGAGGCCCCGGTCACGTTGTCCGCTATCCGCTCATCACTAAGCAGATTTTGTCGATACACAAGAATTCGAAGCTGGTTGGCTTGTAGAGCAAGTAGAACCTGAAGCATCATAGCTCGATCAGTGTGTTCTGATCCAGCGGGAGAGCGCCAAGTTGGATCAAAACGCAATTCACGCGGAATGGAATGGATCCATTGCTGAACCTGAGCGTCCAAATAAGCGCAACCATCCGAAGTGGCCGCTTGTGACCGGTTGGGCCATCCAACGACCAGGCCCCAGATCTTTGTGCTCAGGCGCGCGTGAGAGATCATGCAAGTCAGGTACGGAGTAGAGTGGCCCGGCTCAGGCAAGTTGGTGTCAATGTCGGAATCTTGAATGGTGAAGGGCAAACCCGTGCCAAAGGCACACTTGCGATCTAACACGTATATGCACCAGAACAGTCGGCTTGCCCACGTCCATTCTAATTCGCCCGGGAAAACGCCCCCTGTCTTTTGCCACGTTTCTTGACGATGAAGACCTAGCTCCGTACTCCCTCGAACCGCCATGCCAATGAAACGTCCGGCGATGACTTCATCATCGCGGTAAGAGTGAAAAATCGACTACCACAAGTCAATACGTTTTTTTTTTTTTTTCAGGTCGGAGCACCAATGGGAACAGAACAAAGGAAGGATTTGAGATACACACCAATAGGGTCAGAATGAGAATTTCTTTCATATCAACCTCGGCAATTTTCAGTCGGCTGGCGAAGCGATCCTCTACACTGTCAGCCAGCTGGGCGGCACGCTCACTGCGACCGTGCGATTCGACTAGTAGAGCGGTCGCCAATAGAATCTTTAGCACCTGGACATCACGCGCAGAGAACCAATCCTGATCCGAGGCTGTCTGCGTCGACACCGCAGATGAAGACATAGTGGTTGAATCGTGAGAGTGGTAGAACTCGAGCACATATGCTCGCACTCCATCCAAGTCGACACAGGGGTACATCACACCGACTGTGTCCTCATAAACTTGCACCAATCGCAATGTTTCATCTGCACCGAGGCTTCTCAAGGGATGTCCAAGAGGAGCATTTTCACCTCTCACCGACGGCGCGGGACTAGGAGCAGTTGATAGGTCAAGGTCCTCACCGGGATCATCAATTGCGGCACAGTCGCCAGGTTGATGGGATAAGGACCTTTGAGGTCGAGTGAGGCCAAACTCCGCACTCGTGGGTCCGACGTACGTCGGGGACTTAGGAGCATCTAGGATACGGTGCAGACTCCCCGTGGTGGGTGGGGCTGACGGATTAGAGGCTGAAGTAGGACCGGGGGATTCAAGCTCATGAATGCGGGCGGAAAGGGTCCGCATTTCCCGCCGCAAAGTCTCCAATTGCCTGTCGACAGCTTGAAATCTGACTGAATGATTCACTCTAGATAAAAATCAGTAAAATGCCGATTTGGTTAATGGACGAAAGTGACTGGATGTGACTGGGAAGTTCGGGAGGTAAAGATACCCTTCCTCATTTAGGTCAGTCCCTTGGATCGACGTGCTAGAAGGGCGATGGGTGGCGTAGACACAGGGGATTTGATCCCGAGAACATCTAATACAAACCAAGCCACCACTGCATTTCAGCTTGCGTCGTTTGCATTCATTGCTAAGGTGGTCAGTGCCAAGCTATAACAATAGAGACAAAAAAAGGATAAGCAGGCGCACCAAGCAACTTGAGTATATTTAGCCCTTTTTCTCCTCTGGGATGAATCATCATCCCGTAAAGACCTCGGAGATTCGGAAATCATTGTACAGAGGAACTAATTCGATAGAAGGTGTCATAGCAAGGAGATGGGAAAGGAAGAAACCTCGGAAACGCGGAAACGCGGAAAGATAAACCGAGAGATGTGGCCCGTGCCGGCTTCGGAAGTGACAGCCTTGGAATATATGCGTGAACTGACCTTATGTATATATATTTTTTTTGGTCATTGATTCGAAGTTTTACGAAAACTACCAAGGAAATTCTGTCGATGATTAGGACAATTTAGTTTTCGGTATTTGGTAAAAAGCTCGTTCGTTTTTTTTTTTTTTTTGTACATGATATTCATCTCCATCATAATGCGACATTATATGATACGATGCTTCTTCTCGTTCTATCTTCCTTCCTATTAGATGTGCGACTTTCGACAGCATTCCGAGTCAGCTAGCCGTGACGATATATTCTTGTTGGAAGGCACATCGAGTGACGGGTTGGCGACAAAAAAGTCCGCTGGCCGAATCATGAGTTGGAAAATCTCGACGGGCCTAGTGTACTGAGTCAGTATGATGCAAGAGGAAAAGAGGGGAAAGAAGAAAAAAAATGCGATCAACATACATCACGGGCCAATCTTCTACACGAGGGTTGTGGGTAATGCCAAAAGAGTTCCAAACCACCACGTCGGTGTCAACAACACAATCACCGCGGAGAACAGCATCTGAGACACCTTGAACTTCAGTTTGACTCTGCAAAGTATAACGACCTCCAGCATAGAGCTCCCCGTCGCGATACTTTGTGACCCAAACGTGGTGTTGAGCAAATTGAGCCCGGCGCGCCTGCACCGATGCAGGATCGGCCAATAAAGTCTGAGTGGCCAGTGGAATGAATTTATACCCCACGGGGTTTCCACTGATAGGATTCTTTATGTGGGGATTAATCATCTTGATGGTCCGGTTGAGCTGCGGAGCGGCATCGATCCAAGATGCACGCTCTACGGTCTGCTTGGTGACTTCATAGAAGTTCCCGTTGGGGTTGGTGACCGCATTCATTGGCACTGGGTGAGATTCCTCCACGACCACTGAGTTGTTGGGGCCGTCGATAGCTGGATCAATTCGTATGTTGAAAATGTGCTGGTGGTTCTGAGCGAGAACACCCCCACTCACCACATTTCCGTACTCACTGACTTTACCAGCATCGATATTGACCACGTTCAAGATACCTGTTGCGCGTGCCTCAACTGTAATCCCGCCCGACTGATCGAACTTATAGGCGAAGATATATTCATAGTTGGCCAGTGTGATAATGAACTGGACAACAAGCTCCCGGTTCCGCGTGACGACAGCGCGCCCGGTGCGCCAGTTGGAATGCTTCCACCCAATTCCATTGTCCTGTTCATGGAGGCAAATCGCATTCGGAAGAGTCTGGGCGGTGCCGTCTGCCTGGGTGATAATGGCATCGAAATATTTAATGACTCCGAGACAGTCGCAGCCGAGCGAGAGATTGTTAGCCATGTTTCCACCACCTCCGTCGCCAAAGTCAAAGGCCTGTTTCCGATGGAAAGGTGGTCGAGGGTCAGCGTAAGGGACAGTCTAAACAAGAGAAGCACATATTAGTTTATAGCTATGTTGTTTGGGAATAACATCCCATGGAATATCATTTACCATTTCGCTGATTGCTAGCCGGTGCATCACACTACGGCCATCGTACGAGACATCGTGAATCGTCGCGCCCTCTCGCGGATTGAAAGCAACACGGAACCGCCACTTCTGCCATTCGACCAGAGACTCGTTGGTGACACGGAAGGACGGACCCTCAGGTTGGACCACATTCAGTGGTTTGAGATCCTTGCGAGTCCCCTCGGGCATCAGCTCTGGCACGTATTCGGAGGGTTTGCAATGACCAATTATATCCCGCTTGAAGGTCTGTTCAAGTAGACCATCACCTTTACCGCCTGTGGCGGGTCGATCTACCCGGATGATCTCTTGGGTGTGGGCGTCCATCACAGGGATGATGGGCAAGGGGAAAGAATAGAAATTGGAGTCTTCATTTCCAGAACGTTTGTCCTGAGCGAAACAAAGGCCCTGGAAAAAACGACGATTTTCATCGGTATGATCCAAACCACCATATGGCCATGGCTCAATGACGACCTCGAAACCTTCCGGAAGATCGAATTCCAACAGTGCTTTCTGGAACAATGGTGATTTCATACATTGACCGACGAGAACATCAAATTCGCTCCTGGTCAATCATTAGGAAACTCCGGATGTTTTCAAAGCTTCATTTCTTTTTCTTACAGAGTCAAACTGGCATGATGTTCCTTCCCTACCATCGTGTGCTTCACCCGTGACTGTGAAACCACGTCGATCACAGATTCGTGAAACTGAGGAATGCGGTCCGCTCCGATCACATCGTATTGGCACAAAGCTAGACGCGGCGGTCGTGGGGTGGTTGGACTCAAGCGACCGGCATGTTCGAGCGCTAGAAATTCCTGGAGCTGAGTTTTAGGTGGTTCTTGTAGGAAGATCTCCCGAAAGTCGATCACGACGTTTGGGTGAGCAGCTTTGACCACATCGCGGGCCAAATTGGTCTCTTCGATGGAGAGAATACTGAGTGGGTGAGACATGATAGGAATGGAAGTTATGGCTTTATTGATTTTTTTTTCCTCCGGGGACCTGGAGCTCTTTATTAAATTATATCAGTACAACCCTGGATGCTCGGAATCTCGGAAAGCTCGGAACGGGTTTCCTGGCAACTTCCTGGCAACAGTGGAGACCCGGAAATAGTTCCGTGATGATAGACAATGAGAGACAACGATAGACAAGCACAGATTCCACCAAAAATGCGGGGAAAAATACCAAGAAATGATATCTCCTCTTTGAAAAGATAAGCAATACGAGTTTGCTTTCCTTACTTTCTATGTACATATGTGGTCGGCGGCTGTGCGGATCATGGCCGTGTACGAGTATTGACATTATGAACCATATCCCGTTATTTCCCCTCTGATAGCCTTATAAGAGGTACATATAGACATTGGGAGAACGTCCTATTCTGTCTACTGTATATCTCCCTCCCTGAACTTAGACCAAGACCAAAATTCTTTTTTATATCCTTGACAGCCCCGTGAGGAGTGTGGAGTATGGATCCCATACTAAATCATGAAACTAAAGTGCCCACCCCAGAGAAACCTATCAGCGATGAAGACCAACTTGCAGCTCTTGGTCATGTCCAAGAACTCCGTCGCGACTTCTCCCTATGGTCAATCGTTTGTCTCCAAATATCTTTAATGGCCACCTGGGAGGCCTTATCCTCGGTTGTCGCTGCGGCTCTTACCAATGGTGGAGCGCCATGCTTGTTTTACAACTAGTGAGTCCTTTTCTCAACGATACTCTCATAATCGGAAGGCTGATTATGTGGCCAATTTTAGTGTCATCACGTTGATTGGTACAATGTTCATTGTCCTTTCGTTGAGCGAAATTGCTTCCATCTACCCTACTGCTGGCGGTACAATCAACTTACTCTCCTTCACCTACCCAAATGATGACCCGATGCTAACGAAAGTTGACTATATTCAATAGGACAATACCATTGGGTCCATTGTCTTACACCGGCATCATACCAGGCCACCGCATCTTGGTTTACTGGTTGGATTTCCATCGGTGGACAGTTGGTGTTTTCCGCCTCCGCAGCCTTCGCGGCGGGCTTGCAGCTACAGGCGCTCATCACCTTGAATCATCTCGACTCTTATACCCCAACTAGATGGCAAGGTATGCTTTTCTATTGGCTCATATTAGCTTACTCGACCGCCCTCAATATCTGGGGTTCCAAGATCTTGCCACACACTAATACAACAGCCGGTAAGAGAGCAATCCCCCAAAACGTTTTGACAAAATAAAGCATAGTCTGAATTACAGATAGGTGTATTGCACGTCGTCGGCTTTCTCGTAATAGTCGCCGTTTTGGGAGCAATGTCCGAGAAGCACTCTGCAGGTTACGTCTTCGTCGAATTCTCCAACACCAGCGGATGGGACAATGATGGAGTCTCCTGGTTAGTAGGACTGCTGAGCACTGTGTATCCTTTTCTCGGGTACGAAATCTTTTTCTTCCAATATACTTGCGGTGGGTTAATAGCTAACTATTCATTCCAGATATGATGCAGCGTGTCATTTAAGTGAAGAAATGCCAAAACCTTCCCGTAATGTACCACTGGCCATGATAGGCAGTGTTGTTATCAACGGGGTGATTGGCCTGGTGTATGCGATTGTCCTACTGTTCTCCCTGGGGGATCTAGAGTCTCTACTGCTGTCCAAAACGGGATTTCCCTTCATGCAGCTGTTTTTGAACATCACTGGCTCTCCGGGTGGTGCTTCCGTCCTGGCCCTATGCATCACCTTGATCGCAATGGCTGCCAATGCTGCATGTGTGACATCTACTAGCCGTACAGCCTGGGCATTCGCACGGGACAGTGGTTTGCCAGCGTCGAGATTCTTCGCAGAAGTGAGCCCCACACTGAAAGTCCCGGTGCGCATGGTTCTTGTGGTTGGCTTTCTCCAAATGCTGCTTGGGTTGATCTATCTGGGCAGCTCAACCGCCTTCAACGCGGTGTTATCTATGGCCATTTTGGGAATGTATGCCTCTTATCTTTCCCCAATTGTGTTCATGTTGATATATGGTCGACGAAGATTGGCCCCGATTGTCCGTGGACTCGGGTCGGGATCATTCAACCTAGGGCCACGATGGGGCCCCGTCGTCAACATCGCTGCCATCCTTTGGCTAATCATAGCCATGATTTTTAGCACTTTCCCAACGGTGCAGCCGGTCACACCAGAAAATATGAATTATTGTATTGTGGTGACAATGGGATGGATGCTGATAGGAGGGCTTTATTATTATCTCCTGGGAGGAAAAAAGCGATTTACAGGTCCAGTGGTAGAGCTTGCCGAGGGCATATGACTCGTTTCACTCAAAGCGGAGCGGTCTGCGAGAATGTAATATCGGGACAATATTGGGGGGATTACATCATTTGTTGGAGAAAGGATAGGGAATTTCATTCTCAATTTGATACGAAAATGCTCACCGCAATGCGCCTGTCGTGAGACTATAGTTTACTTGTGGCGAGATTATCAAATCGACAGATCGATTAACCGATAGTTAAGAACATACAAGATCCCAAACATAGTATCTCAGAAGACGACAGTATGCCCAGTTCTCAGGCGGCAGTGTTCTCAGGTGGTGGTGTTCTCAGGAGGTGGTGTTTCAATCGACAGTAGTATTCAGAGAACAGAATACGAATATGATGCTGACAATCCGTAAAGAACTGAAGGTCACATTGTGGTCCCTTTGGCAATCGTTGCGTCAGACCCGGGCCTGGAAAGGTCTGTGCAATTCATCAACCAAGCATCCCCCCCCTTTATAACCGGTCGCTTCTATCGTGATATAGTGCGGTACAGTACGAAGCTTATCCAACACTTTTTTGAGTGTTGGTTGGGACTAAATATGCTATGTCTTCGTATCGGCTGTCAGTCTATGCGTCATACCGCTTGAGAGTATTTCCTAGCTATGTGTCAGCTGGCTCAATTTTGAAGTCAGGTGTAGAACTATGTTGACTTAGGCCTAGTAATGGAACCACGAAGAGATTTTGTTAAAGTATAAACAATCATAAACTACCCTAATTAGGAAAAAATATGCCTATAAATCAAGATTACTGGCTCTGACTACTTCAAATATTGGCACGCTACATTCTAATGTACTAGTACATTTGCACCCGTGGCACCTTGGAAATGTTGAGTTTGCATCACGACAACCAGGACCACTGTGACACGTTTACAGTCTTTAGGTGGCGGTGCTAGATCAAGGCAGAGCATCTCGGGCATGTCAGGAGACACCGACAAATTATTTGTTCAACTTTTAGATTTTTCATATAAAGTATTGTATCTAACCGTCTAGAATGTACAAAAAGTGCAAGAGGCGGGTGGCGTAACAATGACAGCTCAGCGGGTATGATCATCAACAACGCCACCTTCAAATCAAAGACTTAAATGAAGTTTCTGGCATTACATATCATGTCATAATGTCATAGCACAATCTGGATCTGGCTATTTGAATTAATTGGCATTCTAGGATGGACTACGCCTGTTTCTGGATGCGTCCACGATCTTATAAGTCACGAATGCCTTCAATGCTGTGGTCCAGATACCTTGATGATTTTCATTTCTGACGAAATTATAGTCTGCTTGACTGACACAGGTACGCCATGTCTTTTCTCACCTCTGCGACCAGTGACGTTCGGGGAGAGGCGTTGCTGTATCAGCGCCCGCTGAAGTCCCAGCTGCGGGGAGACGACTGGACTGGGCCCCCATTCCATGTATGCAGCTATTCCATGGCCGCAGAAGTTGCATATTGACCCATATCAGGCTATATATGTAGGTATCGCAGTTCACTTTCATCTCCTGGGTGGAGCAACCATTGCCTGCGCCGTGCGGGATAGCGTGTACCCGCTGGATTATGCTCAATATGAATTACCTTGTGGCAGTCGGCGAGATGGTTGGCTCGGTCTTACGGAGTTCATCTTGGAAAAGATTAGAGACTACCAGGAGGGGCGCAGCCAGAAGTTTATCGGCTTAGCGATGTCGATTGAGTTGTCAGAACGGTGTCCCGACCTCTGTTCGCGCCTTTGGGCCGAGTTGGACGTTATCCCGATCGTACTACGCAAATCGGAAGAAAACATAAGCTGGGGTTTATACGAAGAGAACTTACAGCATAAGTCATTGGATGAACACGCGGAGTCGATTGCAAGGAAATGTATCAGGTGAGGGTTCCATGTTGGAATTAAAAGGCCGGCTGGTGCCTTACTTCTCTATAGGTTCTTTGGCCCCAGCCAGGCCCCTATTCCAGAGATCGGTGTCCGAGGCCTTGTCGAGGTCGACGCCGCATACCATGTGAAAATGACACGGCTTCTGGACTATGAGAAAACCGTGGGAGCTGCAACATGGGCAGCAATTAATAAGTATGCCGATGATCTGAAGAAACGCAGGATAAAGATAGCCTTCTTCAGTGCTACTCCACAGGGTGGTGGTGTCGCTCTAATGCGCCATGCCATGGTTCGGTTTGCAAAGGAGCTGGGAGTCGATATTAGGTGGTATGGTCTCCCTAGCCCCAATAATAGTATCAAGTCCTATCTCCGTTTTCTAACCCTTATTTATTTAGGTATGTCCCGAAGCCGAGGCATGGTATCTTCCGAATCACTAAGAACAACCATAATATTCTGCAAGGCGTCGCACCGCCCGGCACTCGATTCACTCTGGAAGATAGGGATCTCCTCCGTGATTGGGTCCTTGAGAATGCGCAACGCTACTGGTCCAAGGGAACAGAGTCTCTAGTTCCCCCGTGGTTTGAAAGATTTGGCTCTCATTTCTATCCGTTCATACAAGAACATGGTCCGCCGGCGCCTCCTTGGCTTCAAAAGAACGGCCCTTTAGTCCCACAGTGGGATGGCGGCGCCGACGTGATCGTCGTTGACGACCCCCAGTTGCCATGGTTGATTCCCCTCATCAAGCAACGAACTCCTGACCGACCAGTCATATTCCGGAGTCACATCCAGGTCCGAAGTGATCTTGTCGACACACCGGGCACACCGCAGGCTGAGGCATGGGAATACTTGTGGGAGGCCATCAAGCAAGCAGACCTCTTTCTCAGTCATCCGGTACGAGCCTTTGTCCCGAAGAATGTACCTCCTGACAAGATTGGATACCTGCCGGCGTCAACAGACTGGTTAGACGGGCTGAATAAGCCTATGACGGACTGGAGCACCTGTTACTATGGGCGGATCTTCAACTCGAAGTGCCGGGAGCGGTATATGCCGAACATAGCATTTCCAGAAGGTCAGCTACTCGTGGGGCTCATTCCTACACCTCTATATTGGGATCGCTTAAATTAATACCGAGCTAGAGGACTACATTATACAGATTGCCCGGTTTGACCCGTCAAAAGGTATCCAAGACGTCCTTATCTCCTATGAAGCATTCCATAGACGTCTTGTTGGGTCATTCCCGGACATCAATCCCCCTAAATTGCTCATTTGCGGGCACGGATCCGTTGATGATCCGGACGGCTTGGTTGTCTATGAGGAGGCCTTACAGTTTGTTGAGCAGCATCTCGGTCATATTCGGTCACTAATCTGCATTATGCGTATCGGCCCCAGTGACCAGATGCTTAACGCTCTTCTGTCCAAGGCAAAGATCGTCTTGCAACTCTCCACCCGGGAGGGGTTTGAGATCAAGGTATCCGAGGCGCTGCATATGGGCAAACCGGTTATCGCGACCCTGGCCGGCGGAATCCCGCTGCAAGTCCAACATGGCAAGAACGGATTTCTGGTCGACGTAGGCGACACCGAAGCTGTTGCTGGCCATCTCTTGGAACTGTGGATGGATCAGGAACTGTATGCTGGCATGAGCAGTTACGCGGCAAATAGCGTAAGTGACGAGGTAAGCACCGTGGGTAATATGTTATCGTGGTTGTACCTGGCATCGAAGTTGTCGAAAGGCGTGAGCATTCGTCCCAATGAACGCTGGATCAACGACATGGCTCGCGAGGAGGCGAACGAGCCGTATTCTCTTCTGGAGAAGAGGCTCAAGCGGGTGTTGTCAACAAACGAAGCAAAGTGAAAAGCTATTCAATCATTACAACAGTCACTTTTAGTTTCACTTTTCTATCGGTTTTATTCCCCGTTTCTTCGATGGGGGCCCTCAAAGTTGGCATTACAAAATAACCGCAAGAGGTGTTTTGACTGCGAAATCAAGAAGCACGTTTATTTAAGGAATCATTCTTGCTCTTTACAATGCAGTACGAAGATTATTTAGGAATAGCATATGAATTTGTTTTATTGCAGATAATTAGATGGCGTCTATAGCAAAGCCAAGCGAAGAGAAGAGTATAACCCGGTGGCTTTCGTTGCCACTACCCGACAGGAGGTGATTCAGTAAGCCCCTTACAGCGATGAAGGCTCAGATCTAACCTCCTCGCTTAGTTGAGTCATCGTATTCCATGGTTTTATTCTGGCAGCTCGTTGGCCAATGCTTGCGGTGGTCTTATCGGGGCAGGTGTGCTAGGTAATCTTGATGGCGCGCATGGCAGGCATCGCCGGATGGAGATGGCTATTTATCATCGAGGGGTGTATTACTGTGGGAATATCCGTACTTGCTTTGTGAGACATATATACTTGGTACCTACCTTGTGTTCCTAGGCGAACTCTCTATAGTATCTTTCTTCCAGATTATCCAGCTTCGACTCCCTGGTTAGACGAACAGGAACAAGCATATGCACAGTGGCGTCTAATATATGATGCAGGAGAAGCTGACGAGGTCGGCTCAACCAGCATCAAAGAAGCCCCTAGGTCTGGTGTTTGCAGACAAGCGTATCTATCTTTTCATTTTGCTTCAGCATGTCTCGCTCCTGTCGCAGAACTTCCAATACTTCTTCCCGACTATTGTGCAGACCCTCGAATACGGGAAAGTCAAAACACTTCTGATCACCGCGCCTGTATGGATCGCTACTTTCCTTGTCTCGCTGCTGGAGACATGGATATCTGGTAAAAGCAACGATCGCAGCCTACATATCGTCTGTTTGATAATGGTCAGCGTGGTAGGAGGTGTAATTGCCACTATTACAACTAACCTTGGTGCCAACTTCTTCGCCATGGTCTGTAATGTCACCTTTAAATTCCCTTGTTCTTTACATGTCTGACAGTAGTCAGGATGCCCATGGGAGCTGTCTCTGCATATCAAATTATCATCGCCTGGGTCGCCAATTCTTTTCCCCGTTCCCTGGTAAAGCGGTCTGCAGCAATCGCTATTGCAAATATGATCGTAAATACCGCTTCGATCTATGGCAGTTACATGTGGCCATCATCTTCAGGACCTCGATACATTCCAGGAGGAAATGCGACCGCTGCGATAGCACTCCTAGTGGCGTTGGTGGCCCTAGTCATTCGCCTTGTGCATATTCACATGAAAAAAGGCTGGATGAAACTGAGCCCTCGGGAGTTATTCATTCTTCTAATTCAACCGATCTAGAAACCCGGACTCTTGGGTTCCGGTATTATCCTATGATCCCATGGAGACCATCGGAGCATTACCAGGAGAAGCTTTTGGAATTTTGGGTTCTTACACACACTCTAAATCGACATGAAAGTTATAGAATGTATTTCCAGTCTCGACTATAAAGTACTCCCATATATAAAGAATTTTACGTCAAAAGGAGGTCAAAAGGAGGTCCTTTTGACCGCCGTACTCAGAGCGGGGTTGGCCTTATTCGATCAGAACAACCATCACATTCGCCATCACAGTCCAATCAAAGAGAGTCAGGGACCTCGGATTGTTTTATTTTCGTTTTCGACTCCGAAATCACCATCTTCAACTTCATGTTCTGATTTCACAATGGTATGATAATCTGTTACATTCCTGTGCTCCTTTGAATTAGGCTGATTTTGCAAGTCGGGTTCATCTTTCACTTCGATCCCTGTTCTGGATTTCTCTCAGGCGCTATCCTCATCTAAACCCGCCTTCCTGGCAAGCCTTCGCGAGGCCCTTGTAAATGTCGGATTTTTCTATCTTCGAAATGCTCCTATTTCGGTCCAAACTCAAGAGCAATTTATAGAAAAGGCCCTAGGTCTTTTCGATCTACCACTAGAGAAAAAGCTTGAAATCGAAATGGTCAATAGTCCGCATTTTTTGGGCTACTCAAGGCTTGGTGCAGAAATTACGGCTTTGAAACCTGATCATCGTGAACAATTCGATGTAAGCTTGGGTTATATTATTTACCTAGCTATTGGGATATCTACTCACACCCTTGTCAGTTTGCAACCGAACTCCCTGCACCTGGTCCAAACGAACCTTTGTATAGGAATGTGGTCGGTCCTAACCAGGTAAGGTCTCATATTTTGTCTTTGTGTTTCTGTCAATGCTTATAACGAATTCACTGTCAGTGGCCAGATGAAACGGCAATCCCTGGATTTCGTGAATCATTCGACACATATCTATCGGAAGTGAGCAGCCTAGCAGAGTTGTTCCCAGGATTGATTGCAGAGGCATTAGATCTCCCGTCAACTGCATTCAATCAAGTCTTTGATACCCCCCAGCAACATAAACTAAAGTTGATCAAGTACCCTCCCCCACTTGGAGATAGCAATGAGTCCGGATTTCAAGGTGTTGGTCCTCATAAAGATTCCGGATTCCTCACATTCCTTTTGCAGGGTACACCTCACCATGGTCTCGAGGTCCAAAATAAGACCGGGACATGGATTCCTGCTTCGCCACTCCCGGGAACATTGGTTATTAACATTGGCCGCTCCTTGGAGGCGCTGACTGGGGGGATCTGCACGGCAACCACTCACCGCGTAAGCTTACGGCCGGAGAACTTCCAAGACAGTGCGGGCTCTTTAGGACCTAGATTCTCCTTCCCGGTTTTCCAGGGAGTTAGTCTCGATCTTTCTGCCGATAAGATCTCTTTGGAGATCCCAGTTCATATCCGTGCTCTGGTGAAAAATGACAAGGTCAAATCCGATGCAGAGGCAACTTTTAACGAAATATTCCGTGGGAGCATTGGCGAGGGCACCTTCATTGCTCGGGTGACCAGTCACCAAGATGTTGGACAGCGATGGTATCCAGAAATCTTAGAGAAAGCACTGAAGGGTCAGAAGGATTTTCTTAGCTATTAATATCTATATTAACATCTATGATATCTTTTGGCGTGAGATTATTGCATATCCCTCCGCAAATGAGACCAACGTTGTATAGGAGAGTTACATGGTAGTGGGGGGTAAGAACGTGCATGTACATATCGCATGTAACTAACTAACTAGTTAGTTATATATATGTACCTGTGATTGGATTTTTTTTTTGTTTTCCTTTTTTATCAATCGCATAAAAGATTCAGCATATACAAATCTCGTATTTTACCCTGCTCCTCGAGCCCCTTTCATTTGTTTTAATAGCACTTTCTCATACAACCATCTACCATGCGCTGGATCAAGTCGCTGCTCTGGCTTTCTGCAGTAACAGTCGCCCAGTCCACCGAGGGCATCTCCAATCTTGTTAAACGACGACTGCGAGCTCACATTAACAACTTCCATTTTACTTTGGATACTAATCTTGCGGGAGAATATGATTCTTATGTTGTGACCAACGATCTAAATGGGACGATTTCGGTCAAGGGGTCCTCCCTGAGCGCGTTATCTTCGGGGTAAGCACGATGATTTCCATTCCTTTTATATACATCACAGCTAATTATGCCCCAAGTTTACATCGATATCTCAGCGATGTCGCCCATGTCGACATTTACTGGTTTATTGGCAGTCGGCTGGATGTCGCGCCATCCAAGTTGCCTCACCTAACCACGCCAATTCAAGGCTCCAGTACAGTCCCTTGGCGGTATCATTTCAACACAGGTATGATGCACAATCAGGTAAAATAGTCGTTGATCTTGCTAACTGGGCTTAGTAACCTTCTCCTACACCACTGCCTTCTGGACATGGGAGGATTGGGAGTCACAGCTAGACTGGATGGCCCTACGCGGTGTGAACCTACCCCTTGCTTGGGTTGGCCAAGAGAAGATTATTCTCGAGGTGTTTCGTGAAATCGGTCTTAATGATGCCGAGATTACCACTTTCTTCAGTGGCCCAGCCTTTCAGGCCTGGAATCGGTTTGGCAATATTCAAGGCTCCTGGCACGGTCATCTTCCCGAGACGTGGATCGATCAACAATTTGATCTGCAGAAAAAGATCATCCATCGCATGGTAGAACTGGGGATGACCCCTGTATTGCCATCCTTCACTGGATTTGTTCCTGCCAATATATCTCGTGTTTTGCCAAATGCCAATGTGGTTCACGGATCGCAATGGGGCGGCTTTCCCCTTCAATACACAAATGACACATTCCTTGAGCCATTTGACGACAATTTCTCAAAACTCCAAGCCAGTTTTATCAGCAAGCAACAAGAAGCTTACGGTAATGTTAGTCACATCTACACGCTCGATCAGTACAACGAGAACGACCCTTACTCGGGTGACATGGACTATTTGCGTAATGTCACTCACAACACCTGGCGCAGCTTAAAACAGGCGGATCCTGATGCGATATGGATGATGCAAGGCTGGCTTTTCTATGCCAACTCCGAGTTTTGGACTGACGAGCGGGTGGAAGCCTATCTGTCTGGTGTAGACTCAAACGAGGATATGTTGATATTGGATCTTTTCTCAGAGTCTATTCCAGAGTGGCGCCGAACAAACAGTTATCATGGAAAACCTTGGATCTGGTGCCAGTTGCATAACTTTGGAGGCAGCATGGGCCTATATGGGCAGATCCAAAACCTGACCCAAAATGCTACCGAGGCGCGAATCGCGTCTCCATCCATGGTCGGATATGGTCTCAGCATGGAGGGTCAAGAAGGAAACGAAATTGTGTACGACCTGCTTCTGGACCAGGCGTGGTCTCAGACCCCATTAGATACACAGCGGTACTTTCACAATTGGGTGACAAGCCGATATTCTGGCCAGAAACGTATCCCGAATGGGCTCTACGTGGCCTGGGATTTGATGCGACAGACAGTGTATAACAACACAAACCTCACAACTCCAGCGATGGCAAAGTCCATTGTTGATATTGAGCCTAAGCTTTGGAGTTTGGTCGATATCACAGGCACACACGGCACAACTGTCAACTACGAGCCATCTGTACTGGTGCAGGCGTGGCAGTTGATGTACCAGGCAACAAAAGAAGAACCCAGATTATGGTCCAATCCGGCTTATAAGCATGACATGGTTGATGTGACTCGTCAAGTCATGGATAACGCTTTTATTCCGTTGTACTCGGATGTAATTGAGTCTTACAACAACTCCAACTCTCGTTCTACGCAGTATACATTTGCGCAGCAGGGGAAGAACCTCCTCCAATTTCTGACAGATTTAGACTCCATCCTTCTAACCAATCGAAATTTCCGACTTTCGACGTGGATTGATTCGGCACGGGCCTGGGCCAGCGGTAACAAAACTGATATGGCATTCTTGGAATATAACGCGCGCAATCAGATTACTCTGTGGGGACCAAATGGAGAGATCAGTGATTACGCTTCCAAGCAATGGGGTGGACTCGTTTCCTCATACTACGTGCCCCGCTGGCGTATATTCATTGAGTATCTGAAATCAACACCGACCGCTTCATACAATGCCACTGAAATACATGCAAAGATACGAGATTTTGAGCTGCGGTGGCAAGATGAGACTTGGTCTGTTCCCGAGCCTACTGCGGATATGGTGGATTTAGCCAAGGTATTGACAAGAGTCACTCACCAATGGCCATCTGTTTTTGGGCTGGAGTAGACCGTCTTCGCCATCTAGTGAGCCATCATCTTCGCAATGAGAAGCTTTGTGTGAGTTCCAATATACTAGGGGTTCATTGGTATCTTGCTTGTATAGTATAGTTGCTATATTATAACAAATCGATTCACCAATGCCCGAGTCCTCGGGTTACTGCCGCAGCCCGATCTGGTGCTCAAATTGCTCGGCGGCCAGTCTGTCCTCATGAATATGGCCTGTCTAGAGCATATTGTAGCCATTTAAACCTATGAGTAATGCTGTACGAGCGTTGTTCCTAGCGAGTAGTGTTGTGGCATTGGTTACTACATGTTGCCCAGGCTGGATTGGGTAGACGCCAGGAGGCTAGTAAGGGAAATGGGGAATGGGATATTGAGAAAGAGTAAGATTCTCAGTGGCTATAAGTTTAATTCCTTTTAGAGAATAGATATTTTGTCCCAAATGAGGGAAATATAAGAAGTTGAACTTGAAATGGTCAAAGACAAGGGCCAATGCCCAAATGTCTTGGCGCCTCTCCAATTAACTTCTCCACTTCACTTCGTCTTCTCTCCACAACTCTCTTCTTTTCTCCAAAACACCTCCTATTATTCAACATGCCCCGCGCCGTCCGAGGTCAGCTCCTCATTTTTTTTTCTTGCTTCCCGGATCTCTGGCTAACATTTTGTGTCCTTGGCAGGTCTGCTGATCGAATGCGATCCCTCGATCAAATCCATGATCCTGAAGTACGACGAAGAGCGACATGACTACATAGTGGAGGATTTGGATGACGAGAACCACCTGGTTATCAAGGAGAGCCAGCTGCAGAACCTCAAGGTTCGCCTAGATCAGGTACCTACTACACCCTAGCTCTTCAGGGGCTATCCAAGGGGCCATTACTCACAGATTTGGCAGGACCTTGACGAAAAGATCATGCAGCTGGATGAATCTGAATCTGAATAGGTTATAACCAGCTATTTTGCATTGAATGCGAGGCCTACACACACGACGCAAAGCCAGCCGGTTCCCATATCCAAGTCCACAATGCACTCGCAGAACACTGTCATGAATGTGCCCATCTCCCACCGCTTGTTACAAAAGATCGCATCATGATTTCACCGATATTCAGAGATTGAATGCAGTCTGACTACATCTCTCAATCATCCGCCCTTCCTCTGACCGATGAGTACTTGACCACGTTGCGAGGAGAACACTCTCCATGATAGTGTGGGGACTGCTCTCAGACAGCGGATGGGAGGTTGGAGACCGTGCAACCCATCGAGGCTTGTCATACTTCACAATGTTGTATATCCCAGCTACGGGCTGTGCTGGCTAGTAATACCCTTGGAATGAATGAGAGGCGTGTGACGTGATCAAATGTTGGCGAAGCACATCATCTGAAGCACCGGAGAAACCCTTACTCCGGCAAGGAATCAGAACCACATAAAAAGTGTACATCTCACTCTCCAGCGCGACACACTTGATGAAACTTGCATTCTGCTACACACCAGTGGATGGACGCATACACTGTAGTCAATCAATTACGCCTTGTTGCATAAGGCAACAGCCACCACTATTGACAAGATGTCAACGACGGGTTACACGCGAATGCTGGAAGCAGCGACTGTCTTCTTTGTGTTCCCTTTCTGTGTAAGGGCACCTGGTTTTGAGTGCATTATGGCTACATAAGTGCTTCATGGACCCCTCGCGTGTTCAACTTCTCTCTCGTCAGACATAGCAAAAATCTCAGCTTCAATATAAAATCACTTCTTTTCAGGTTACCCAACTTTCAACTTACAACATGTCTCTTCTCCGTGCCAACTTCCCCGGCTCTGGCGACTTCGCCTCTCTCTTTCGTCTTCTTGACGAGTACGATGACCACCGCTCTGCCCGCAACCAGCCTGCGGTTCGCTCGTTCTCCCCTCGCTTTGACATCCGTGAGAGTGAAGAGGCGTATCATTTTGATGGCGAACTGCCTGGCATCGATCAAAAGGACACCGATATTGAGTTCTCCGACCCCCAGACCCTGGTTGTCAAGGGCCGCACCGAACGCCAGTACCACAGCTCCGAGCCACCAGCCGAGGCCAAGGAAGGCACTAAGGACACCGACGAAAACAAGCCCACTCACCGGTTCTGGGCCAGCGAGCGCTCAATCGGCGAGTTCCAGCGCGTCTTCTCCTTCCCTACTCCTGTCGACCAGCACAATGTCAAGGCCAGTCTGAACACGGCATCCTGTCCATTGAGGTACTCAAGGCCACTGCTGCTACTTCCAAGAAGATCACCATTGAGTGAACAGTTATTCCCCTCACGTCCACACAGGAGCCACGAATATTCTTTTGACAATTGCATTGTATGGAAATTGGACTTATTTGGTCTTGGTTATTTTTCCTACTTTTCATGTATCTGTCTATCTTAATTATGAATGCTATATTGTTCTAATCTTTTTGGTTTGGGGTGTGTATATTTATGATCCGGGACCTCGGCACATGTAAATCCCATGATATGCAAAATACATTGAGGTGTATAGGTTTTAGAAAATGTAACTAGCCCTGAAATTACATTTAAAAGTAAACAAGATTTCAGGCATCTTTAATGTATTTAGTTCATAGCATTCCAAGGCATTCAGAGTTGATATTCGGGTGTTCCCCATGTTTTTGCCTGAGCCGAGGTCCCCCCGCTGTGTGTAATAACAGCCCTTTTATACTCCCTCTCTCCCTTTCTCTCTCCCAAACACCAGAAACAATACATCTTTCTCTCTCAAACAATGGCTGAGAACTACTCTTTCGAATATTTTACGGTGCAATTTCCCACCGATCGTCAATATGTGGCCCATGTGGAAATCAATCGTCCGGAAAGGCTGAACGCCTTCATCGAAGTGTGAGCGCTAATTCCCCCAGACTTTAACCTTATTATCTTCTAATAAATCTAATTTAGTATGTGGGAAAACATGGCCCAGATCTTCAACAAGCTTTCTTCGGATCCTGCCGTTCGCGCAATCGTCCTCAGCGGTGCTGGAGCCAAGGCATTCACCGCCGGGTTGGATGTCAAAGCGGCCTCGGAAGGTCTTCTGTCGTCAGACTCAGACGCCAAGATCGACCCAGCTCGAAAGGCGGTCGCTTTTCGTCGCCATATCACCGCCTTCCAGGACTGTATTACCGCCGTAGAGCACTGTGAAAAGCCCGTTGTGGTTGCTCTGCACGGGTTCTCATTGGGACTCGCCATTGACCTGGCAACGGCGACGGACGTGCGTCTCTGTGCTCGAGATGCTCGGTTTGGGGTCAAGGAGGTCGATATCGGTCTCGCAGCAGACATCGGTACCCTCAGCCGACTCCCCAAGGTGGTCGGAAATTTCGGATGGGTAAAGGAGGTGGCTCTGACAGCGCGCGAGTTCGGCGCTGAGGAGGCACTCCGTGTGGGGTTCGTTAATGCGGTGTATGATACCCGTGAAGCCACTATTGCGGCCGCATTTAAGCTCGCCTCCCTGATGGCCAGCAAGAGCCCCGTGGCCGTACAAGGCACCAAGGAGATCTTGAACTACTCGCGCGACCACTCTGTGCAAGATGGACTGCGCTATACAAGTGTATGGAATAGCGCTGCTTTGCAAACGCAGGATGTTTCGGCAGCTCTGATGTCTGGGTTGCAAAAGCGTACTCCAACATTCGAGAAGTTGTAGTGATGGCAAATCCACTATTTCTTACTGTGTATATATTGCTCAAAACATCTAGTCTGCTAATATTCAACGTCATCCTATTTTTACTAGAGAAACTCGAAACTCCCGTGTATTTGCCAAGGAATGTCAGCATCGGCATACCCATCTGCTATTGTTTTAGGATAATTTTCCGGCGTTTTACCCCAAAGCTTTAATGCATCATTTCAAGTCCGTGTCCTATCCAGACGTTTTATTTTGACGAGTTTCCATGAATCAGAAGCATCGATCAACGGGTCTCCGCATTCCAACCCTCTGCATCTCCTTTTCTCCGAAACGCCATGAAACTCGAGGTCTACGCAATAATGGCCGTCTATACCCCGCTGAAAATGTCACTTTTTCCACGTATCCAAGCCATTGCTCAATATAGCTTAAAAATATATAATTTCGAACAAACGCAGAGAACATTCACTAAACCTTTTCACCAAGAACTCGTTCTATATTCCTCTCACCATGAAATCTGCTATTCTTCTCTCCGCACTCATCCCCAGCGCGCTGGGTGCGACCATCTACCTTGCTGGTGACTCGACTATGGCAAAGGGTGGAACTGGATCTGGCACAGCGGGTATGTATGTTCTCCTGAAAAACCTACAAGCTAGCATCATGCTAATACTCCCCAGGTTGGGGTGAATATGTTACGCCCTATACCTCACTCACCGTGTCCAATCAAGCTGTCGCCGGTCGTAGCGCACGGTCATACACGCGTGAGGGTCGGTTCGATGCCATTGCAGCAGTGGTTCAATCTGGAGATTGGGTGATCATCGAGTTCGGGCACAACGACGGTGGCTCCTTGACTCCCACCGATAATGGGCGTACCGATTGTTCTGGCACAGGAAGCGAGACCTGTAGCACAACCTACAACGGGGTCGCCGAGACAGTGTTGACGTTCCCGGCATATATAGAGAATGCCACCAAGGTGTTCAAGGCCAAGGGCGCGAATGTGATCATCTCGAGTCAAACACCCAACAACCCCTGGGAAACTGGAACCTTCACCTACGCCCCGTCGCGATTTGTGGGCTATGCGAAGGTGGCAGCGGCAGCTGCCGGCGTGCCCTATGTTGACCACGGGGCTTATGTGGCAGACCGGTTCCAAACGCTCGGCCTGACTGCTGTCGATGCGTACTTCCCCTTGGATCACACCCACACCAGTGCTACCGGTGCATCGGTAGTGGCTCAGGCCTTTTTCAAGGCTGTGGTTTGTGGGAATGTTGCGCTGAAGAGTTCTTTGAGCACCACCTCTTTCCCTGGTTCGTGTCTCTAAACGAACAGCAGAGTTAGCAAGTACAGGACCTATGCAATCTGAGCTTATTTTATGACTATAATTGTGCCGCCTGCAGAGCGAGGATAACAGAGGATTGGGTGGCTTCGGTTGGACAACTATATCCAAGAGGAATTGTAGACTGGGCTTCAACCCAATCGGCTCATGGCCAGGTGAATTCGTAAGGTTTCGTAATATGTCCATAGCTAAGACAGGTACACTGAAATGCACAAAAGCCGTCGTTGAAAAAGCTTTCTTGTGGGCATAAAATCCCAGTCGGTCCCGATTTCATTCCTCCAGAATAGACCGAACGATGCCCCGATTCTCGACTCGGCGATAATATTGATTCACGCTCGCGAACCGAGCATCAAATACACCCTGGGTCTGTACAATCTCCCGCAGAACTGGCCATAGAGAGCAATCGTCGATGGTAAACACGGAGCCTCCTAGGTAATGTTGTCCCTGCAGAGTACGCTCCCAATCCTCAATCCCGTATTCAAACACACTGCCTGAATTGGTAGCACAGTGCTGACGCCAGTGTGCCAAAAACTGGTCAATCGTCGACAAGAAATTGCCCCCGCGTAACGAATCCACACCTGGCCGTGAGGTCTCAGCAGATCGGTTGGCCATGTGCGCTAGGATAACGGAGTCGCCCGCGATCGTTGCTCCATCTGGCATTTCATATATTGGCAGTGTCGTTGGGTGACTATCTCTAGCTCCCAGTTGCTCGTGGTTGGTGATCAATCGATACCTAACGCCGTTTTCCCCAAGACAGAGACGCACACGCAAATTGGCCACAAGATCACAGCCAAGTACTAGCTGCCCTGTTGATGTAGTCACAAAGTTGACCACATCAAAGCCCCCACCGTACACGGCATCCCAATCGAATTCAGTGGCACGATTTTCCTGGCCGAAAGCACCAATGAGGCGTGCTGTTTCAGCAGGATCCCCATGGACAACAGCGCGGGCCTGGTCCAATGTCTTACTAACAGCCCCCTGTCCCCAGATTGTATTGGCCGCAGGGTCGATGAAAGTGCCAATATGACGGAAAGTAAGGGAAATGCGCTGGCCACCGTAGGCTTGCTCCTCGGTAGATTTGGTTACATTAGGCCGTTTGTCGGCCCGGATGCCATGAAGCCATCGCATGTTCGTCTTTGGGCCGAGCACAAAAAGTGAATTGTGAGGAAGATGCACGCGCTGCGTTGTCCGACATGGTTCATTCCCTCCCTCGGGCTCAGATGCCGAGGCCTTGGTACGGAGGACCATCACGCGCTCGGCACCTAGACTGACGTTGCAAATGAAAGACCCTCGCACAATATCCAGCGTCTTATCTGAGTGCTCTGATATGCGATCCTGTCCATCACGATAAAGCTGAATGAGCACATGATTCAAAGGGTGGCCTAGGATTTGTTCAACAGCCATGCGCACTTCATCAACCGCAGAGGTGAATGGCTTGAAGGGTGGAGACTCGTCTGCTGGATGACGATATATGGGCATGGCTCCATCGGGTCGAGTTTGACCTTGGACTGCAACCAATCGGGGAACCTGACCCGACAGATGGTACATCTTCTGCCAATCTACCTCTGCCTGTATACGCTCAAAGGAGTCTGCGGCCAAGTTGACATTGTTCACGAGGCGCGAGTCACCCTCCCCAATGTTGGTTGGGGATGTATTCGGTATTTCCGTGGATTGTAAAGGTGTTATTCCCCCGTTGGTGTCAGCGCGAGGTTCGGTTGAAGATTCTTTTGGGGCGTCTCGGCGCTTTGGGCGACGGACGCGTACGCGCACCTTCTTTTGGTCTTCCACTGGACCCCGCGCCTGCGCAGCAGTAGCACGCTGTGCACGAGAAAGACTAGCGAGTTCCGAAACGCTCGGATCCTCTGGATCACGCGGGTCATCTGTGGGAGAGGTGTCCGCGGTATTCCAGAATTCCAGACCATCCATGACGCTCTCGAGGCCAGCCGTAGCTGCTGACCTCTTAGGCTGCGGTGTGCCTTGGCGAGCAATTGCATCAGTCTCATCCCAATCTAGCTCCTGAATGAGCTCCCGAGCGGTGATACCGGTCGCTCCCAAAATATCCGCCATACGTCTCATTGCTTCTTGATGCCGCTGAAAATCGCGGAAACCCAAGCAATCCTCCACAAGAGTTACTGAAAACCCGTTGCGGACAGCATCCAAAGCGGTCGCAAACACAGAGACATTGGACAGCGAGCCACAAAGGTACAGCTCGGTCACAAAGTGTGTTCTGAAGGATAGTACAAGGCCGGGGGACTCCAGGGCGGAGTATCCTGTTTTGTCCACTACGGTGTCATGCTGGGCATTGATGGC